TGCTCACTTTGTGCCTATGTCACATTTTAGTAATTCCCACAAAATTTAAGACTTTTTCATTGTTACTGTATTAGATATAGTGATCTACCCACCACCCATTTCCCCATCTCTTTCCCTCTCCTTGCACCTCCCTATTCCTTGAGACACAATGGTATTGAAATTAGGCCAATTAATAACCATACAGTGGCTTTTAAGTGTTTAAATGTCCATTTATCTATTGATGAACACTGTTGTTTCCATGTGTTGGCTATTGTAAATAATGCTGATATAAACATAGGGGTGCATGTATCTTTTTTAATTCATGTTTTCATTTTCTTTGGGTAAATAGCCAGTAGTGGCATTACTGGATTGTGTGTATTTGTTTTTAATATTTTAAGGAGCCTCCATACTGTGGCTGTACCAGTTTGCATTCCCAGCAGTGCATGAGGGCTCCCTTTTTTCCATGTCCTCACCTACACGTGTGTGTTATCTCTGATACTAGCCCTTCTGACAGGTATGAGGTGGTAGCTCATTGTGGTGTTGATTTGCGTTTCCCTGAGGAGTGATGCTGAGCATCTTTTCCTGTGTCTGTTGGCCACCTGTATGTCTTTGTTGGAAAATGTCTATTTGGATCTTCCACCCATTTTTAATGGGATTGTTTGTTTTTGTTGCTATTGCGTTTTAGGAGTTCTTTATATAGTTTGGATATTAACTCTTTATTGGCTGTGTCACTTGCAGATATCTTCTCCCATTCAGTAGGTTGCCATGTCTCATTTTTAAATCAAAAGCTAAAAATGACTAAGCTCAGTGAGGAAAGCAGAGAGAAAGCCAAGAAAGGCTGACAACTAGGGCTTTTGTGCCAAACGGGCCAAGTTGAGAATGCAAAGAAAAGTTCTTGAAGGACATTAAAAGTGCTATTCTAGTGAACATATGAATAGTAAGAAAGCAAAACAGCCTTATTGCTGATAGGGAGAGAATTTTAGTGGTCTGGATAGAAGATCAAGCAAGCCACATTTCCTTAAAGCCTAATCCAGAGCTTTCATCTTGTGAAGGCTAAGAGAGGTGGGGAAGCTGCAGAAGAAAAAGGTGGAAGTTAGCAGAGGTGGGGTCATGAGGCTTGAGGAGAGAAGCCATCTCTGCAACACTGAAGTGCGGGTAAAGCAGCGAGTGGGGACGGAGAAGCTGCAGCAGGTTACCCAGATTTAGCTCAGCGCGTCAATACAGGCAGCTACACTAAACAGATTTTCAGTGCAGATGAAGCAGCTTGCTTTTGGAAGATGCCATTTAGGAATTTCATAGCGAGAGAGAAGTCGATGCCTGGCTTCAAAGCCTCAAAGGGCAGGCTGTCTCTCTGTTAGGAGCTTATGCAGTTGGTGACTTTACGTTGAAGCCAGTGCTCCAGGACCACTCTGTACACAAAGCACATTGGTTTACAACCTGATTTACTGAATATTTTAAGCCCGTGGCTGAGACCTACAGCTCAGAATATTGACGTCTTTCACAAGACGACTACTCCTTAACAATGTGCCTGGTTACTGAAGAGCTCTGATGTCCATGGACGACGTAACATGACTCCTGCTGTTTTCATGCCTGCGAACACAGCATCCACACTGCAGCACCACATGAATCAAGGAGGAGTTTTTACTTTCAAGTCTTACTCTATATGAAATATATTTGTAAGGCTATAGCTGTCCTAGACAGTGATTCCTGAGATGATCTGTGCAATGTAAATTAAACCTTCTGGAAAAGATTCACCATTCTAGATTCCATGAACAACATCTGAGATTCATGGGAAGAGGTCAAAATATCAGTGTTGACATGAGTTTGAAAGCTGGTGATTGCAACCTTCAAGGATGCCTTTAAGGCGTTCAAGACTTCAGTGGAGGAAGTAACTACAGATGTGGTGGAAATAATTAGAGAACTAGAAGGGAAGCCTGAAGGGGTGCCTGAAGCTCAATCAGTAGAGCATGCAATTCTGGCTCTGGATGAGTTGCTTCTTATGGATGAGCAGAGAAAGTGGTTTCTTTAGATGGAGTCTACTCCTGGGGAAGATGCTGTGAAGACTGTTGAAATGACAAGAAAAGACTGAGAAAATGACATCAACTTAATTGATAAAGAGGCATCAGAGTATGAGAGGACTGACTCCTATTTTGGAATAAGTTCTGTGGGTAAAATGCTAACAGCATAGTATACAGGAGAGCAAGGAAGTCCACTGATGTGGGCAAACTTCATTGTTGTTTTAAGAAACCCATGGCCAAACCACCCTTCAGCAGCCACCACCCTTGATCAGTCGGCAGCCATCAGCATCCAGGCAAGACCCTCTACCAGCAAAATGATTATAACTTGCTGAAAGCTCAGATGATGGTTGGCATTTTTTTTGTTTTTTGAAGATGTTATTTATTTGACAGAGAGAGCACAGCACGGGGAGTGGGAGAGGGAGAAGCAGGCTCCCCGCTGAACAGGGAGCCCGATGGCAGGGCTCAATCCCAGGGCCCTGTAGTCAATAGACTACAGGGTAAACATACTATAAACTATATACTATAAACTGTAAACTATAGGGTAAACATAAACTTTTATATGCCCTGGGAAACCAAAAAAATTTACTTGACACTTTATTTCAGTGGTCTGGAACTGAACTTGTAATATCTCCAATGTATGCCTGTACTACTTTCACACCATCATCAGTTGGAAAATCATAATTCCAACCTGTCAGTACATTAATTAGGTATGTAGGAGAGAACTCAAACTCAAGCTTTATAATGCGATTTGTTTTCAAAATATCCAAATCAATAACTCTCTGTAAATTGCGGGCCCAGGGTTATTCTAAGTCTGGCAGATGAACTAATAATTAAAACTATATTATGAATCAAAGTTACTTAAAGGCATTCCATTCCTTAGTTGTAAATGAGCCAAGCAGAGACACCAGTGACTCTGCGGGAGCAACCAGATGTATGAAGGTGGCCAATATTAAAGCAGCAATTAGAGTTACGTGGCTAGAACAAGAAATGATGGCTTCTCCAGACAAGGCGACTGGGCAGCCATGTTTGCACAGTGAAATATGTGACATCCAGAGCCAATTATTTTTTACAGGTAAAGAATAAACTGTTTATATTAAGTAAAATTGGACAATAAACAAGAAACATGCCAGGCTAACTTTGAGTAAGTATGAGAATGTTCTCTACATAGTATATGAAGTAGATACAATTAAGAAATAATAGAATACACCTACCTACAGTGGAAGAAAAGTGGTCTTGAATTTGAGAAGTCTCCTCCCTGGCTAGTTGTTATGCCACTATTTTTTATGTCTTTGATTTTTTTTTTTTTGTTTGGTTCTATTTTATTTGTTGGATTTTTTCTTTTTTTACATTTAAAATTGTCAAGCCATAATTCTGGAATAATTTCTAAATCATAAATAATGATGTCAGTTTAAATGAAAATGCAGCTCATGTTTGGATGAAGGATAGATATTTATTCACAGTGAAAACGCATGTACCCAGAGTTAATGTCACAAAATACAAAGATCACCTGCCCAGTCTGGTAAGCTCACTATTGTAAGCATTCTCTCAACCTGTACAGGTTCTCTCTCACTCACTTTCACCTTTTCTCCCTCTTTTATCTATAACCTGAATTTCGCCTTAGAAATTAATGAACATGAACATTTAATGCTTAACCTTTGAGCAGTATTTATTAAGGAAAGAATAAAGCAAATTATCTGATCTTCAGCCCCAGGTATTTTAAAGTAGAATTATCTTCTAAAACAGAAAACAATAGTAGATGACAGCAGCTCTAACACAAGTTAGTGAAATAAGGTTCATAGGTGCTGGGAAAAGAACTCAGAAGTACAGGTCTTCACTGGACTGAACTTTAATCTGCATGTAGAGACACAAGGCCGTAATATATGTAAGGCTCGGCTTGAGTGCCAACACATGAAATTCTCCTCTTTCTTTTCAGAGTCTAGAAAATATACAGGTACAGAACTTAAATATACATATAATCTAATTTATTGTTTTAGTTTCCTGGGAGTCAGGCCAACTAGGTAAGAATTCCTGATTCTGAATGACAGTTCTCTGAATAGGCTTTTTAATTAATGCTGGAGATCTATACCTCACGTAATTTAAATTAATTAGCAATACTGTGAATGTCCTCATAGGGAAATCTTCATTTAACACTCCCTGAAGAGGCATTATAATTTTACACTGAAGTATAATGCAACTAAGACTTTTAAAGGAATACCAACCAACTTCTTTTCTAATGGGGTATTTCAGTAAAATTGTTAATAAGTTTCATATACCACTAACTGAAACTAATTCTATATATTTTATTCGAAAAAAAAAAAAAAACACCTCTAAGACTAACAGACTGACTTCACCATTAACTGGCTCTGTGAAGTCTTACTTGGGTATATGGCAAGTTTGCGATCTAAAGGTAATTCACCTTTGAAAATTTGATCAGCTTGGTAGTGAAGACATCCCATAGATGTTCCCTACTTAATACTTCATCTACGAATCTGCTTCTCTCACCACACACAGAATCAACTGCTATCTCAAAACGCAAGTTTGTCTGAAGGCATACAGAGCCTTAATATTCTGGTACATAAAATTCAGTTCTACCATCTCTACTTGAAAGGGTGTGGTTTTTCATGTAAAATTAATCACAGTGTTACTTGTTTGTGAAGAAAAACTCCCTATTTATGTAACACTTTTTTTTTTTTTTTTTTAAAGACCGTGGCAACACAGATAGGAATTGAATTCTGGAAAATATTTATCTGATAATTAATTCTTACATTTTATAATAACTTCACCAATAACCTGAATACCTTTATAACCTTCCCTAATCCTGCACAGGAGTAAGGCATGCAGGTATCTAGACCGAAAAGCAGTAACACTGACATTACTTGGAAGCCTGACCTAGCAGCTGGCTTAAATTCTGTGTTTCTCAAATTCTTGCTCTCCTCTAAATATCCCAGTCATACGAAACAGTAACTTACTGTATAGAATTCAACATAATTTCAAAAAAGGTACTTTACAGGTAAGTCCAAACTTTATTTAAAACTACATCTTAAATTTAACGATGCCAAACATCACAAGGAAGGAAAAAAAAAACCAAAATGAAGACCAAAAAAAGGAAAGAAAGAAGAAAAACAAACAACCCCACAGTGTATCAAGGCTTCAATCTGTCCAGAATTCAGTTTCTGATGTTTTAAACTGCCACGGGCAGAAATGAGCACACCTATCAAGAATGCAGTGTCAAACTAATTTACATTTTTATACAGATCAAAACAGATGTTTATTTAGTGCCACGTTCATATATGCATTGACTACGTAAAGCGAGTTAGATGAGTCTCAGAAGACATCTCATACGCTTTGGGCTCCCACTGTTTCTGAAAAACAGAATAATGTGCTATAAATTACTGAATTAAGACATTACTAGAATTTATTATTGTTCTCTTACATTAAAACTTTCAGCATGAAGTTATTATAAAGGAAATACTAATTTAGTTTATAAAAATAGATGATTTCTGTTTGAAAACGGTAGACGAGTGGATACTTCCTGTCTCTTAAAGCTCCCATCAGGGAAAAAAACAAAACAAAACCTATAAAACTGACTAAATCCCGACCAGTAAGAGTGGCTAGGAGGGAGAGCAGGACCTGGGACAACAACAAATCCCTGGAATGCTGGAAGCAGAAGGAGGAGCAAGGAGGCGGGGCGGAGCACAGATAAGATTCTCACAAGTAAAACTGGGCTCAATACTGGGAAATTAGCTGAAAGTTTGATAGTTAGTCTGTCCTTCTCTTCACCCAATTTCTAGGAAAAGCAAAAATTGATGAACTGACAGAATAACAAAAAGAAAATCCTTTGATTTTTGATGCAAGACAGTCTCCTCTGAGTGGCCCAGGGGTTGTGCTATTAGATCCATGAAGAAGGAAATATGGAATTATCACTTGGCTCTGCAATCAGTCATGTTTACACAGAATGGTCTTCAGAAAAAGTAAAGTTTTTTTTGTTTGTTTTGTTTTTTTAAAGATTTTATTTATTTAGACAGAGACAGAGATCACAAGTAGGCAGACAGAGAGAGAGATGGGGAAGCAGGCTCCCTGCTGAGCAGAGAACCCGATGAGGGGCTCGACCCCAGGACCCTGAGATCATGACCTGAGCCGAAGGCAGAGGCCTAACCCACTGAGCCACCCAAGCACCCCAAAGTAAAGAAGTTTTAACTACTATAGTTACAAAAATGTGTTTGCTTTTATAACCTTAATGTAAGAAGAGGAGTAAAACTGAACAGAGAAAGCGGAAGGAAAAGGGAATAGCAGCTGAGTAATGACCAAAGTTGATGGGACTAGAAAACACAAGGTAACAAACAGAAAAACCAAATAGTGAAAGAAGGAGAGATAAGTCCAAAGGCTCACTTTTCATAGGGAAGATAAGAGATGTCTGAATTTTAAATTAAGAAAAGTTACAAGAATATTATTTAGATGGGTTATGGACATTGGGAAAGGTATGTGCTATGGTGAGTGGTGTGAAGTGTGTAAACCTGGCGATTCACAGACCTGTACCCCTGGGGCTAATAATACATTATTTGTCAATTAATAAATAAACAAATTTTTAAAAAGAATATTATTTAGAGATAAAGAGGGTCTCATTCAAAAGAACTAAAAACCAGTAGTTAAAAGAAATGGGATCCTGCCAGTTTATCAGGAGTTCTTTTGTACCCTTCCTTCTTAAAATTGTTGCTTCTATTACCTTGCTAAAACTCAGGATTTTAAAAATGGAAAAAATTATCTGTTAATATCACTTTATAAATCAGGCAACAGATCAAGACTTTTTACAGAATTATGCTTCCCTTCCAATATTTGTCTTAAATCTTCCAAGTACTAGTAGTCGATTTAAAAAACAAACTGATGGTATCAAGGTTCATTAATTTTTCAATATGATGTGGTTCAAAGTGGTTAACTTACCAGGTTCCTTTAGTGTCTGAGAATTCCCAGCTAATTCTTCAGTCTGCATTTCACAAAGTATTTCACCAGGTAAATGGTTTTTCTGTTCTTCTTCTACCATTTTCTTCCTTAGATCTGCCTTTGGAATGAAAAGAAAAAAAAGAAAATCAGTTTCCATCCCAGCAGTATTTGTCATATAAAGACAAGTTTAATTAAAGAGAGCAGAATACCTCTGAATATATTGTCAGTTTAAGTGGTAAATCTTCAACTTTCACAAAGTCTTCTTCATCAGATTTTTGACTTATGTTACCAGATTCTGCTTCCTGTGAGATAAATTGTATTTAATGAAGGCAAAGCACTCCATCTCTGGATCTAAACCTTTAAAGTAATCCATGCCAAGGATAAAATGGATTCTTATATACATCAGTAATTCTATCCTATTTGGGTTTTCTTCTGTGTTCAGCTCTATGAATAAAGCAAAGCTGGAGTGCACGGGAAGGGCCATGCACTTGAAGCTGTGGGCCATACTGTCGAACGTTCCATCCCCATTTGCAAAAACAAAGAGCCAGCTTATACAGGTTAAAGGAAGAAACAGTAGTTACACTGAGGCCTAAAACAATTAAAAGAACAACTCTGGTTTCTTGATAATGTTTACAGAACGCATCAGAATGTATCCAGCAGAATAAAGTAAACATTTACATACAGGCTTTCAGTATCAACTCTGTGGAAGCTGAGAAAGATAAGGCATGAATCTAGTGACTTACTTTTGTTATCACTTCAGTGTCTCTCTGAAACTTGAATTCTTTTATTCTCCTATTTCTCCTTTCTGATTTTTAATAGTATCATTTTACTAATTACCCAAGTGGAAACCTTAGATTTTTCCTCTTCTTTCAACATTTCTCATCCAGCTCTCCCTAAGTTAGTACTTGGTTCCTATCATAAGGGAGCCTCCTAAAGTAGCATCCTTGACAACACTCATCAGTCATCAGATTCATCTTCAAAAACCATGACGTTGGCCATTTGACTTTCTTGTGCAAAGACCTGTCCCCTGCCTAAATTTCAAATTTAAGTCCTATAATCAAACGTTAATTTCAATTGCCTCCTAGAACAACTCTACACACTCATTACAGTCAAAATAAGTCTAACTTTCAGAGTTGTAAATGTTAATTTCACTGTTGTCGAAGCCATCAAAACAGGTTACTCATTCTAGTAGTGTTTTTGAAATAATTATAGGCTTCCTGAGAAATTAGGAAATCTTAATTTTAACTATATCTTTAGTAAGAAAACTGATATTAAAAAAAATATGAAACCCTTCCTTAGACCTCAAAGTTTGTTATAAATTCCTCAATTTTTTCGAACAAGAGAAAGGATATAAAACACAATCCAAGGTCCAAAAAATAACCCACATGCTATAAAATTATAGCATGAAACAAAAATGTCCAGAGTAAAACAACTTACCTACCTACATCTTAAGTACAGATTTGCTACCATATATTTCTGTCATTTACCATAAGGAAGCTACTGCTGTCAAACTGTAAACTTTCAGGTTTATCAAATGTTTTTAAAACATTTACGAAATGTTTTAAAATTGTTGAGATGTCAGGCCTGGGTACTGCAAGAGATTAATGATGATTCACGTATCGTGTTCAGATCTGAACCTGAACTCTCTCAATGTTGCTACCTATAACTCAAAATATGGGTCATAAACTTATAAAAAAGTAGAACAGCTTTTAGATTTTGATATCTGATCATCTTAATTCACTATCACCCTCCTATTCAAGTTTAAACTAAGTTTGAGTAAGAAATACCTTTTGGCAGTTTCTAAACCTAAACACAAACACAAATAAACCTCAACACAGTCTGTTTATAGACTGAAAATGTTAACCTAAAAGGAAGAAATATGCATAGAAATGAAACGTAGATGATACATACATAGTCATTCACTAACACCGGAGATTCAGTATCAGGACTTCCAGCCAGAGAGCTCTCAGGAGTTTCCTGAGCAGATTTAACTTCTTTGACTGTAGGCACCAAGGTTTCAATTTCAGTTAAAGGTAAAGGCAAAGGGTTAGGCTGTTTAGATGAATCAATGGTAGTGAGAGTGTCCTGTTGGACAGCACTATTTAAAGGTTGCTCGTTTTCCAAGATATTGAGGTAACAGGGTTTCACAGGAGTGCTATCGTAGTCATCTGTCATCAGAAGAAAATCTTAATATTAGTGTAATGCAACAGTTATTAAATTTCAGTATTATACCAAAAAGACAGTATGTATGAAGGAGTAATCAAGACATTTAAGACTCAAAAGAAGAGACAACTACAAGTTTTCCTTATCAATGATTCCTAAAATTAGTTGATCAGATTCTGGAGATGTTTTAAAAATTAGATTCCTGAAATCACCCAATTTCTAACGATAGTCATGAGTAATACCCAGGAATGGGTATTAAATCCCTCATGTTTGTATCTAAAGATGTTTTCTTTGAAGGTTTTTTCTGTGTGTTTGTCAACTTTTCTTGAGCACCTATTTGCAGAAAGAAAGCCCTCGTGTTTTCTACAAAGAACTGAGGGAAATAAAAAAGACATACCTCAGGTCCACAATACCTTCAAACTTACATTAACTAAGAATTTAATTTTTTTTTCTTAGCTTTTAAAAAGTACATAAAGGGCACTTTAAATAATCTTAAAATTGAACACTTTAGATTTCTTGCCTTTACTAGTAGTGGGTTCTTGTTCTGATGGGACATTTTTGCTTTCTCCTGATTTTTCAAAGTCATGTTGTAGTACCTAGAAGGAAAAAGTGACGTCTTAATAGCAGGGCCTAAAATATATGGCCATTATATATAGGAGATGGTTAGGAGTTTATGGTGTTCGTCCAACCTGAGAGCTTCATACAAGTGAATTTAAAAATGTCTTCTGAAAATGTTTCAGGAAGGATGCTGTAGTTGAAACTTTAAGAGGGTTAAGTAAAATGTTTCATTTTCTTAACCTCAAAATAATAGAGAACTAGAGTATTATGGATCCCACTATTTTAAATTTTTTTTTTTTTTTTTCAAATCAGCCTCAATCTTGAATGAAACTAAAAGATACCCACTTATATGTAGGTGTTAAGTGAATGGAAGAACTGACCAGGAGGGGAGAAAGATAAAGCCAAGTGCCTTCAGCAGGAGGAGGGAACAAAATCAGATTCATCTCATGCTTGGAGAAAGGAATACAGTGGTGGGTGAAAAGAGGGCAGTGGTGGTGGTTCTCTGAAGCTGTTAAAAGAAAATGCAAAATTGAACTAGTAAGCCTCAGACCCGGGGGCTGCCTAGGGTAAGGGTGGAGTACAGAAAGCACAAATGAGGACAGGATAAAACCTCATGCTGAAAATAGGATTAAGCACAAATCTGTAGAGTGATGGGACCCCCAGCAGCATTCCCACATCTAGCTCCTGAACACAGGCAGCCAAAAAGGTATGACTACCTCCTCCCAGGCAGAGAGGAAAGGAAGACCCTTCTTTGGAGAAACACCACCTCAGAGAAAAGACCAATAGGTATTAACATTTGGGATTTTCTGTCAAAAAGCTGTCAACCCAAATGCCCTACAGTGAAGCCCAGAATAACCCCAACCAGCTTCCTGGTGTATAATTTTTTAGTATAAACACAGAAGGTACCACAGACATTTGAAGAAACCTCCAGATGGGTAAGAGAGGATAGCACTTCTCTGAACTAACAGCCTGCTATAAAAAAGTAATCAGAAAATAAAAGCATTTAGAAATTAAAAATACGACATTTATATAAGTATTAAAGTCAAAGAAATCTCCCAGGAAGTAAAACAAAAAGAGCAAGGGAACGATAAAAGGGAGAGAGGAGAAAATTAGAAAAGCAACACATGAGGGCTAATAATGTCTGATAATATTAATTCCAAGAGGAATGAAAAGAGAAAATGGAGGGGAAGCAATGCAAAAAAAAGAAAATTTAATAAAATAAAGGACATGGTTATTGATGCTTACAGACCCACTGACTATGCAGTACAGGGAATGAAAAAAGACATCAGGTGTATCAGTGTAAAACTTGAGAACTCCGGGGAGTGGGGGCGGGGAGCTCTAGGGTGGGAAAGAAAAAAGAATACAAAGAATCAGAACTGAAAAAGGCATCAGCCTTCTCAACAGAGCCACTGAAAACTGGAAGACAAAGGAGGCACTGAAATGATGTTTCAACATGGAAGAATTTAAGATTTTCTTAGACCCATAATGTCTCAAAATGTTTCTTTTATGCACTCTCTCTCAGAGAGGTACTAGAAATGTGCTCTACCAAAAATGAGGCAAAAGAGGACAAAACAAGATTCCACAAACAGATGGAATAAAGAATGACAAAGGGAACTCCCAGGCTGCTAGCTAGGGAGCAGGTCTAATGAAGAGCCAAAGCCAGGACAGAGCGGGAAGGATGAAACGACAAACTGGTACATGCAGAAGAGTCCACTGAGACGTTCATACAGCTGTTGCTGGGCAGAACAAAGACTTGGCTATGGAGTCAAAGAAAATCAGGCAAACAATGGAGACAATTTTTAATTTCAAGTGAAAAAATGTATAAGAATAAGCAACAAACAGTATTTGCTTAATTCAGCAAGTCGGTAATATTTATGTAGTTTGGTTAGATCTCTGGCTAAATGTAGATTTAAGCAAAAGATACAACTGAATGAGGAGGACAGGATTAATATAATTAAATGAGGAGTCTTAAGTGACCTAAAAGTCTTCATCTTCTATAATGGGAAGTTAACGGAGAATGTCTAACACATAACTAAATAAATATACACACATACTATTCAGAAATAGAGTTAAATAACGAAAGAAATCATACAAAATGCTGCCTATGGGACAGGATGAGGTGGAGGTAGGAAAGGGAATGATTTTATTATATACTGTTTCCATGTATAACTAGGAAGTAAAGATACATGAAAAATCCAGATCTTCTAGGTAATGTCACAGTTTTTAGGACCTATTACCCCCACCCCCGCAAAATTAAAGTATTTTAAGTATAAGCATTCCTAAATATAAAAATAAACTAGTATTTGATTGAGATTTCAGTAAGGATGTTAAAAAGATTTGTTTATTCATGAAAATGAGAATAGGGAAGCTGTAAATTCTGACATCCTTAAAAAGGATCTGCCTTCAGTAGTTAAAAAAGACGAGTGGGGGAAGGTGTGTTTCTCTGGACTGGAATACCTGATCATCATGTTCCGTTTCTTCTGTAGCTTCGGTGTTAGCCTGAAGTGAAGTCTGGACATCCACAGGCCCCTCTTCAAATTCTTCTATTTCTTCATCCTCATTCTCATCTTCTCCACTTCCATAATTAGTCAAAGCCTGAGTTTCAGCCTTGGACAAGTCTAAATTGATTAATACACAGTTTTTAGGAAATGTCCAGCAGTAAATCTTAAGAGTAGCTACCATGTACTGCATTCTTGCATTGCCCAAGTCCTTTACATAGGATATCTGAAATCTTCCACACAGTAAGCAGTGGAACACTGTGGTGCAGAAAGGACAGGGCATCTGGTCAGGGCCACACCAGATCATTCAGAGTTGTTGGACACCTAATTCGACATTCATTACACTCTGCCCAACTGTTTGGATAAATGACCTGTAAAGAGCTAACATATAAACCCAGTAAAGAGCCTTTACACTTACTAATGGACACCGGACATTCTTCACTTTCTTCATCTTCCTCTTGATCAGAAACATCCGATCTCACATTTTTGGGACCATCACCACCATACATCTCAGATGTCTGAGTCTGCTTAACTGTTTCAGTTTCATCCTTGTCCTAGCCACAAATATATGTAATGAATTCCTTAAAATGCATTTTAAAAGGTACATACTAAAGCCCATCACAAAAATTAGTCATGATCTAATAAAAAATACAAGAAGTTGTTTTTAAGAGAAAATAAAAGTTTTGTTGGAAGAAAGGCCATTTGATGATTAAAGTTTTCTCTCAAACATTAAGTTAAAGCTCTTAAAGTTATTTAATCTTTTGTCCAAAAACATTGTTTTTAGGCACAAATTAGCCACTTACTTTGTCTTCATCATCAATTTCTCCAGCAGGTGAGTCATGATCTCCTTCAAGAATCCTTTTGGCCTATAAGCAAATTAAACAGAATTTAGGGGTGACCTTTCAGCATTATACTTAGATATTCAGTAACTTTAATATATGCTGTTTTTGACCACAATCCAAAGAGTTGAATGCTTTCTTAGAAATGTACATTCAACTATTTCAATGAAGTCTTTTAAATTAGCCAAACAAAAATCAACACTGCCTACCAGGAATAATGAGCATCTCAAATTTACTAATTCCAGAACAAAAACCTTTGACTCCCTCCCCAAACCCCAGCCTCCTTCACAGCCTTCTCAATCTCAATAAATGGCCCTTCATGTACCAATGCATAAGTCAGACACCAGGAAGCTGCCTGTGCTCTACTTGTATTACTCACATCTGAACTGTAAGAATGCCTCATTGACTCAGTTGTCAAAATGGATCTGCTGGTATGCACTCAGAGCTTAATCACACCGCTCCCTACCTGCACTACTGCAACAGCCTTCCAACTGGTCTCTGCTTCTATCTCTTCCTTCCTACAATTCCTATGCAACATGATATCTAAACCTGTCTTTTAAATTGCACATGTGATTATGTCCCTCCTCTATTTCAAAGTTTCCCATGGGTTTCCATTATGTTTAGAATAAAATCAAACAGAAGACCCTTAGCTGCCATTGTTAAGGTCCCATAATTTGGCTTTACCCACCTAGGTAACCTCATCTACCATTCTCACTTCCTGTGAGGTATTCCCGCTACCCCGGCCTTCTACAGGTTCTCCAAATAGCTCAATCCAGCCTCAATCTTTGAACTTACAGTTCTCGCTGCCTGGAATGTCCTTCCCTTTCATCTTCTTTATAAACTCCTTGTCTTTCTTGCCCTAGTTTATACTTCACCCACTTAAACAGCCTCACGAGACTGCCCATCTTGAAGTAGTCTTTCCAAGCATTTATTATGGTTTTATCCTGTTTTATTTTCTTCAAGCACTTGGCAATGACTGAAATGATCTGAAACTTACCTATGTCTGGAGTGAAAACACTAAGAAAAGTGTGAAACAGGTGGCTTGACTTTTTCTACTTTAGATTTCAGGGAGAAGGGTTGCCTCTTTCCATTTTGGGGCCTGACGTGCTTTCCTTCTCGTGATTATAGAGTCAAGAGGAGGGAGAGGTCTAAGGAAGAAACCTTCTGGTATCCCTAAAGTTGAGGGGAAAAATCCCATCCAATTTCATATGTGATCAAACTAATTTAATGAGGTTTAAGAAGCTACAGCGATGTGCAGCCGAAGTCCTAACTTGTAAACAAGCATGTATGCTGGTTGGGGTGACAGATAGCCCTGGTAGCTCTGAGCTCTATCAGGGTTGGAATAGCTACTACAGACAGCTGGTCAAGAACTGGATCCCAGTAATCCTCTCTTCTTTGGAGCCTTGAGCGACAATTTTGTAAGACAGCAGATAACTCTTGTCACCAATTCCTGTCTGCATTCCTAATCTTTTAGCCACTGAGGTTACATCTGAGATCCAGTATGTGCCTACCATCTGTACTGATTCAGATAATCTGATTAACTTTTACTTAGAAAATATGTTAGCTGAGGTCAAGTCTGCTTTTAGTTAATAATGATCAAGAACTATATTTTTATGCTAATTGTAACTACTCCCAAAACCAAAATGAATGTCATTTACCTCTTTGGCGTAAGACTGTATTACTCCAGCTGCTTCTATTTTCCTTTTGCACCTCTGTTTAACAGTTACACTATTATTATCCAAATCCTGCATCAGCTTAAAGAAAGCCAATTCATTAAACAACACTTCAGATATCTCTACAAGAAGATCTTCTCCACAGTCTTTCAGTTTTCTGCCAGCAAATTTTGCCAGTGAATCCTATTACAAAGATAAACCAAGTAATTTTAAGATTAAAATAAACTTCAATTGTGAGTAGAGCAATACAGAGGATTAAGAAGTTTAAATTACAATACTCACCTAGGGGAAAAAAATTTTTATTACTTTTTAATACAGAAAAGGCTAAAATTAATGGCTGAGATTACTACACAGATTACTTTTTTTAAGATTTACTTATTTATTTAGAGAGAGACAGACATGCAGGAGCAGGGGGAGGGGCAGAGGGAGGAGAGAATCTCAAGCAGACTCCCCACTGAGCATCAAGCCCTACAGGAGGCTTGATCTCAGGACCCTGACACCATGACCTGAGCAGAAACCAAGAGCTGAACATTTAACCGACTGAGCCACCCAGGTGCCCAACATGGTAATATTCTTTAGTGATATTAACCTAAGCAGAAATCATGCTAGTCTCCTCTAAAGAGTATACAAAAGGAAAAGAACAGGACATGTAATCATCAATAGATTTAGTCCCTAATTAATAGAACTGGTGGCCACAAATGAGTAAACCAGGGGATACATATTTACCATAGTAAGAAGCTGAGGTGCCCAGAGAGGAAAATACGAAGTCCTCCCTTTCTCAATGTTAACATCAGAGTACTTTTCAAGTTCCCCTGTTTTATATAAGCCAGGCAGTCATTCTAATTTAAACTTCTTCTTCAGAATCAGTTTAAAAGCAAATTTTAGCTCTATTCAAGTTGAAATAAAGCATCATCAAATGAGTAAATCAGCTATATTCTGGACATTTTTTATAAAACTGCATTTCCTTTTCTTCCTAAAAATAAGGACTACGCCATTTAGAAAACAGGCAAAAAAACTATATTCTGTGTCTCCTCCCTCCAAAAAACCATCTCATCTAGCAAAATTGTAGAGAAGTATAAATGTGGCTGCCTTGTAAGAAAAGAAAAACAAAAACAAAAACTCACTGAATAGGTTTCATAGAAAAAAGTAGATTTTAAGTTCTATCTCATGAAAAATTTTCAGTAGTCTGGGCAAGATTTACTGTAAACCAGTCTTTATTCTTTTCTAGGTCCCTTTGTGAAAAAAAAAATCAGGTATGGGATAAAAGAAAAGCAGCCAGGTTTTCTTAGGAAAAAACTCTTATTTCCAAATTAATACGTTGGCATCTGTCTCAATTATGTAACAGCAGACAAAACTGAAGGAGGATTGCATGGATCTTGATAAACGAAAATATTTAATTATAAAGGATTTCTCTTTGAGCCTGATTCTAGAATGGAGTTATTTATTTCTGTAGGAATAAACTACTTAAATTTATAAAAACATATTTATCTAAAAATTATCCTAAACATTTTTAAACCGTGTAACAACAGAGATGCCTTATATTCCTTATAGATTATGTGTTAGTACAATTCAGTTAAATAGAGCCATCATGACTTAAAACCTATTATTGAATTTGTACTTTGGCCTTAATAAAACAAAATGGAAAATTATAGTGATGGAAATTTACATTAAGCCTCGGGTTTTAAAAGTTATTGATAGAGTGATAATACTTTCTTTAAAACCAATTTAAACACATAGGAAGTAAGGAATAGTTTTATGGGAAATTTTTGTAATAAAGTTGAAAAGAAAAACATATTTCCTAGTTTGGAGTAATTATACACATCACTGAACTACCTCAATGGGAAAACTTATCTGCGTATTGAACTGGAAAGATGTTTACTCTATGAAGTAAGGTATCCTTACTTAACAAGGGGATTCTCAACCTTAGCACTGCTAACATGCCACCAGATATTAGTACCAGCCGCTTCTGTATGGTGAATGTCTGCAGGCACTGCAGAACTGCCGCCAGTTTCCAATCACGACCTTAACATTACAGTTACTATCAGAGCCTAAGACGTCTCTATAATCAACGAGTGGTTTCTGGTTTCTAAAATTTCCCACACTGGAAAAAAAATTTTAGAGAATAGCATAGAATACTTCCTAAACCACGACCCTGAAATGTTCTTACTAGATAGTAGGAAAATCAAAATTTTATTCAAGTTTGCCTAGGCCTTAGATGATCGAGTCAAAGAAAGACACAGGTCCTACTACTTTTTTTTTTTTTTTAAAGATTTTATTTATTTATTTGAGAGAGACAGAGTGAGCAGGGGAACTGTGAGAAGGAGAAGCAGGCTCCTCACTGAGAAGGGAACCTGATGCGGGGCTGAATCCCAGGACCTTGAGATCATGACCTAAGCTGAAGGCAGACACTTAACCAACAGAGCCACCCAGGTGTCCCATAATATAATTTTGTTTTTAAACCACATAAAGGAATAACCTAAAAAGGTACTGAAATGTCATGCCCAGTGGATACCAGAAGGGACATTTATCTGAATAAATTGCATATTGCCAGAAAATGGCAAAAAAGTAATAATAATCCCAACTAGAGTGTATATATATTGTTGTCATACAAGTATAAACTCTTACCTGTAATATACTTCCCAGTTGTTTATGAAAGAACTTTACAAATTCTTTGCTCTCATCATTTTGCTGGGTGAGAGTCAAAACCATACGTCTTACTGAAGTTAGAAGTTGAGAAGAGCATACTTCATCCATGTGCTCCTGAGAAAAACCCTAGTTGGTTAGGACCCATTATTTAAGAAATATTAATTCACATGATACTTTTTTTTCTTGCATAGATGCTTCTCAACTATCAGATATGTTTAGAAATATCTATTCATAAGAAGAGCCAAACTCCTGCACTACACATGTTAAGGGGTTTGTACATTTTGACCCACCATAGCAGGTAACAGACAGTAAAAGAAATGGGCTGATTCAATACTTTTCATTCCTTTCTTCCTGTATCTTAAGGAGAACTATTTATGCCCTAGTCTCCATATTGCCTGTCTCCCCATTTGCAGTTCAGTTCATTTCAACCACACTCTTAAAACTCACCTCCCGCATCTTCTACCCAAGCTTTCTCAGCCTCGCTTGGCATTACGGAGACTGCATGGCACAGGAGCTTCAGCAGCACTCTGGCCTCTACCCACGAGATGCCAATAGCACCCTCTACTCTCCTATGTCCTGAGAGCTAAAACTGTATGCAGACATTGCAAGATGCTTGTAGGGTCAAAATCAACCCACAGTTGTCCTAACTTCCCAAACAAGCCTTTTTGGGCAAGTCTCTTCTCCTTCATCTTCCTTCAGAAGCACGTGCAAACTACCTAATAATCCAAATCCTGGATCACTTTTGAAGGTGAGTCCATAAAACATCCACATCAAGTACCTCAAGGTTCTCATCCTTCTTCTGCCACTACACTCATTTGGGCAGGTCTTCCAACCTTTATTCAGGTGAGTTCATGTTTTGTTTTTTTCCTATAGAAATGTGTAAAGTGAGGTGGCTAAACTAGATGATTTCTAAGGTTTCTTAAATTGAAGGAATTAAGATCATTTTTTTAAAAAATCATGTGACAGAGCAGTTAGGGGGAAAAAAAGGCAGTTAGGGGGAAAAAAAAGGACAACTGTCCCTTGTCTTCAAGGGATCAAATACCAGAGGAGAAAGTCAGATACAGGAATAATCAATCACTACATGCTATGCACTGTCCAACAGATGATACTTCTTAACTCCAGGATCTGTTTCTTATTTATCACCTAAGCACCGTGGCCAGCTCACAGGAGACACTCATTACTTGGTGAATATACAGATATCATAAAAGCAGCACACGCCAGGTCTATAAGGAGCTATGGTAGTATATAAGAAACAACAACAATTATCTCTGAAGAAAGGATATTTCTGCCAAGCAGAAAAGAGTGAAGGAATTTTATATTTTTGGTAATGACAACTTGTACAAAGGGCTGATATAGGAAAACGCAATGACAGGAACAGGAAATGTTGAGTAACTTGAAGTAAGTGAGTGAGTGAGTGAGTGAGTGAGGGGACCCGATGGAGAGTGGGGAAAGATGAAAGTAGGGAAATGTACCAGGTCCAGCAGTGAAATCTCTTGAAGGAGGGGGGAGTCTGCTTAGTCAGCATTCATTTCATGCCTATTATGACAGGATGTCTAGGCAAAACATGAAGATCTGAATTAAGGTTATGCCTCTGGAGAGAAGGAAAGAAAAGTGACTGCTCTTAAGGGGAAAATCAATTTTTGACTCACTGGTAATAGAAGGTATGAGAGTCAAGAAGTCCAGCTTAGGTGACTAGATATAATGTTGACTTTAATAAAGAAGTTCTATAACTCTACCAAGAAAGTCAAGATTTGAAGTGAAATGAGACATAACAAAATAGTTAAAATCAGATCATTAGTTCTACTCATTTTGCTGGCCTCAAAAACTTTTTGAAATGCTAAGTTTAGTAAGTGAATATTTATGAGGGGCTATCAATTAAATTAGACACAACATGGGAAAAGCAATAAAATTTCCTAACTGTAGAAGACTGCATTCTCTAAGCGTAAAGTTAAATCAGATTTTTTTAAACCTTAGAAAGTATTTGTACATATTAAATAAATATTGCTAGCCATATACCTAATTTTACCAAAAAAGACATCCTTAAAAGTATTTATTGGATCACTCATGATAAAACAAAAATGTGAAACAAAAAAGGCAACACTTACCTATTCCTAAGATGAAAGCAAGTAACCGCTTGCATAGTTTAAGTCAACTCACCTGAAGGATTGGTTTCAAACTCTCAAATAAATCTACCCATCTATCTACACGAACATATGCACATTCTTACAACTTGCAGAAATAGAAATATTCTTCTCTGGGAGGTGAGTACATACGTTACAAATAACGGGAGATAAATTTACAGAATAACTGATGAAACTGATGTGTTTTTACCTTTCTTTTGTTTACCTGTCATTTTCTGAATTTACTACAATGCAATCTTTTTTAAGAATTAAAGAACAAAACACATAAAGTATTTATTTTAAGAAATTATTGCCTACCTTCAAGAAAGGAATGACTTCTTTCATAATGGCTTTAATTTGCCGGTCCAGCTGCTGAGTATCAATTCTAGGGCATGGGACAGTAGAAACTTCACTTACAGGTTGTTGTGAACCATGATTTTCAATAGGAGTTTCTATACATTTTTAAAAAGAAAATGATTCGTTAGCAAAATAAAGCTTGTGACATTATACATACACATTTATTGAGAATTTTAAATATTAAAATCTGATTTTACACCAATACAATGGAGCATTTATGTAGTTTTAGCACCCTTAATAACAAAAAGAAAACAGTCATAAAACTATTAAATATCAGATGGGGCTACACATTTTCTTTACATATGGAACTATAGTTTCTGTACTTTTACCCATCAGGAGAACACACCTTCGGAGTTAGTAACCGTACTTGTGGCGGCAGCACCATCCTCATTCTCAAGAATCCTGCAGGTGCATCTCATGTTTGTGCTACTTTCGGCCTCAATCTTCATACGCTCATATTCCCTCATTCTGACTAATGCCTGATCTAAGTGAATCACAGTGTTACCTACATAGGAAATAAACATTTTGAGAATATATAAAAGCAAACTTTATCATGTATTCCTCACAACATATTAGTAAAAAAAAAAAAAAAAAGAAAAAAAAATGTCTAACTATAGGTAAGGAAAAGGAGATTTAACAAGTTCCAGACTCTAGTTTGGTGACGGCTTACGTTACTCTCTAAGACTGTAAAGTCCATACTGATTGCACTAGTCATTATGTTGCTTCAGGTAAAAATAAATTCCAAGATGTCACCCAAATTCTAATGAAAAGGATCCAACTGAATACAAGGAAATAAGGTAAGAAAGAGGCCAAGAAAGAGATTTCTCAGTTTTCCTTTGTCCATTTCAGACAAAGTTAGTGGAGGATTTTGAGGAAACAATCAGTAAATGAAACGAAAACAGACAGGACTCTAAGCCATTTGGTAACTCAAGAAAGGGGGAATAAACTAAAGGTGAAAGGAAAATTTTTCTCTAAAATGGGATGAGATCAGTTCAGACTTGACAGGTATTTTACAAGGAAGGGAGCTAGGCTTGGAGTCCATAATAGGATAAGGCAAAAGTAAGACTTACTGCTTTGGTAAAAAGTGTGTATCTAGTAACAGGGCCAGGCTTAGCCCTTTTCTTTGGAGGCGGGCTTTGGAATTATCTAAATCTTGTTCTCATCATATGAACAAACACTAGAATAATAGGACTTAGATCATTTTATCAACTAAGTGCTCGGGAGAGCTGAATGACTGAATCTCGGGTATCTCTTGACAGGCTACAACCAGGAAAATGAATACAGTACCTATACATGTTTCTTTTCCTTACTCTGCTTTCCAAGTCTGGGAATCTGGGTTTTCTTCTTCCCTTTGAGTTATACAATTCTCCAAACTTCTGTTTTATTAATGATGAAAAAAAGTGCAATGCTTCATGCAGATTCAGAGTTACCTGGGTTTCTCATTAAAGATTATCTATGCTAAGAATTTTCAGTTATTGCAAATTAAGTGAATATTGTTACTGAAAATGTGATTGATGGGGCTCTGATATCTCTGAATTTTTCCCATTAACTAGAAATCCTTAAAGGATGACCCTTCCCTTATAGAAAGGAAATCAACATTTCTTCAGCTTCTATTATACATGCTAGAAAATTCTATATATTTTTCAAAGAACATAAAGCAAATTAAGTAAGACTCCCATTTTCTTAGAATGTGCAATCAGAATGATGAGATGATTTACCAAAGGCTAAAGAGTTAACAGGTGTTTCTTGACTTTACACTGAGAGACTGTTAAGTCCACAGTCTTTCCACCACATCGTGCCTTTTTTGGACTTTTCTTTTTTTTTAAAGATTGTATTTATTTATTTGACAGGCAGACATCACAAGTAGGCAGAGAGGCAGGCAGATAGAGAGAGAGGTGGAAGCAGGCTCCCTGCTAAGCAGAGAGCCCATTGCGGGGCTCGATCCCAGGACCCTGGGATCATGACCTGAGCCGAAGGCAGAGGCTTTAACCCACTGAGCCACCCAGGCGCCCCTGGACTTTTGTTTCTTAATGTAATTCAAAGACTGTATTAAAGTCACGTTCTAAGATTATAAAAAATTCTGCTTACCTAGATCATCGGTTGCAAAAGGCTCAAAATTTGAAGATACAGACATGACACTAGCATTATCAGCATCATTTTGCTCACTTATTTTATGTGTTTCTCTCTCAAAGTTCTTCTCAAAAGTTTCCTAGGTTACAGTTTAAAAAAACAAATAAAAATCACTAATATTTCTTTTAAAATTTTTATGATGAATATTAAAAATTAACATAGAAACTAAGTATTTGCATAAAACTATATACTTAAAATTGGGATATAACCAAAGTTATTAAAGGTTGAACAGTCACAGAGAACATCAAAACATTAAGTAATCTTGCAGAACATATGTCATTAAGTAGATAAAAATACACAGAGACAGCTACTAATTAAATTGTGACTTGGAAAAGTAAACATTTTATATTATTTCTACACCCTCAGGAAAATGTTCTCATCTCCAAAGCCTAACAATTACTAGGACCTTACTATATCTGGTTTTATCAGAAGAAAAACATGACAGCATCATTCATATTTTTTAAATGAACTTTATTGAAATATAATTTACATACAACAGTGTACCCATTAAGTGTACAGTTTGATGAGTTCTAAAATATATATATATATACACACATGTATGTATATATATACATACACCCATGTAACCATCTTCCCTAAATATAAAGACCATTTCCATAAGCCCAGAAAGTTCCTTTGTATCCCTCTGTAGTCAGTCTCCACTACACCCCACTCATTATATTTCTATTGCCACAAACAGGTTTTGCTGACTCTAGAACTTGAAATATAAATGGAACCATTCAGAATATACTCTTCGGTGCATGGCTTCTTTTCTTTTGCTCAATGGGTTTCTGAAATTAATCCATGCTGTCATATGTTTCAGAAGTTATTTCTGAATGGCGGAATAGTATTTCATTGTAAGGATATACCATATTTTGTTTATCCATTTATCTGCTGATGTTCCGGTTTGAGGCTATCATGACTAAAGATGTTATGAACATTGGAATACAAGTGTTTTTTGTGGACATATGTTTTCATTTCTCTTGGATGAATACCTAGAAGAAAAATTCCTTGGTCACATGCCAAGTTTAACGTTTTTTTAAGAAACGGCCAGACTGCTTTCCAGAGTGGTTGTATACTTTTATAATCCCATAAGAAGTGTGAAAGTTCCAATCACTCTACATTCACACCAACACTTATCATAATCTTTTTAATTTCAGCCTTTCTAGTGCATGTGAGGAAATTTCTCATGTGGTTTTAATGTCCACATTGGCCACCATTTACAGATCTTCTTTCATGTAGTACCTGTTCAAATCTCTTGCCCATATCTTACTGAGTTGTTGATCTTAAAAGCAAATTGTCAAAGTTCTTTATGTTAGTATGAATTTGTCATTTATATAGTCATTATCAGACATGTGTACTAATATTACGTTCTCCTAATGGTGTCTTTTGAAAAGCAGGATTTTATTCTTTTTTTTTTTTTTAAAGATTTTATTTATTTATCTGACAGAGAGAGAGAGAGATCACAAGGAGGCAGAGAGGCAGGCAGAGAGAGAGAGAAGGAAGCAGGCTCCCTGCTGAGCAGAGATCCCAATTCGGGGCTCGATCCCAGGATCCTGAGATCATGACCTGAGGCGAAGGCAGAGGCTTTAACCCACTGAGCCACCCAGGCGCCTCGCAGGATTTTATTCTTAAATCAAGTCTTAATTCATCAGTTTTTTCTTTTATAGTTAAAGCTTTGTGTACCCTAAGAAATCTTTGCTTATGTTAAATCATGGAGATTTTCTTTTAGACATTTTGTAAGTTTTAGCCTTTTCAGGACTTTAATTTCAAAATAATTTTTCTGTATAGTGTGATTAATGGGACTCTCACATTCTTTTTTTTTTTTTTAAGATTTTATTTATTTATCTGACAGATCACAAGGAAGCAGAGAGGCAGGCAGAGAGAGAGGGGGAAAGAGAGAGAGAGCAGAGAGCCCGATGTGGGGCTCGATCCCAGGACTCTGAGATCATGACCTGAGCTGAAGGCAGAGGCCCCAACCCACTGAGCCACCCAGGCGCCCCAAGGGGAATCTCACATTCTAAAACTCATTTCACAATTACGTTCTTTCCTAGCTAGAAATCTTTTAAATATTTCTCTTCAACTATGAAATGAAAGCTATGTCTCTGATTAAAGGAAATTCAGGCATTACAGAACATGTTTTGGAAATGGAACCATTTTGTTGCTCCTTCAATTAAAACTGGAAGGTAGATGTGCTTTTGCCATTTTATGGCACATGGAATAGAAGATACAAAGTGTTTCTTCCTCTTCCTAAATTTCAATTTTCATTCCCCCTTTGACTTACAATTCCTGGATGCCTACTTTTACTTCTCTCTCTCTTGGCCATGAAGGCTCTTACATACTCTCAATTGTGCCAATGCAAGCTCCATAAATGGAGTTCAAATGACCTTGGCCTGGGGCACCTGGGTGGCTCAGCTGGTTGAGTGCCTGCCTTCAGCTCAGGTCATGATCCAGGGTCCTGGGATAGTGCCCTGCATCAGGCTGCCTACTCAGTGAGGAGTCTGTTTCTCCCCCTCCCTCTCCGATCTCTCTTGCTCTCTCTCAAATAAATAAAAATATTAAAAAAAAAAAAAAAAAAAAGGCCCTTGGCCTAGAAAACATGGAGAATCAGAATCTGTATCTGTCCAATATGGAAACCACTAGCCATGTGGTTATTTTTTTTTTAAAGATTTTATTTATTTATTTGACAGACAGAAATCACAAGTAGGCAGAGGGAGGCAGGGGGGCGGGGAGGAAGCAGGCTCCCTACTAAGCAGAGAGCCCTGTGCGGGGCTCAATCTCAGGACCCTGGGATCATGACCTGAGCCGAAGGCAGAGGCTTTAACCCACTGAGCCACCCAGGCACCCCTCCGTGTGGCTATTTATTAAAACTTAAAATTTAGTTCCTCAGTCCCATTAAGCCACATTTCAAGAGCTTGATAGCCCCATGTGGCTAGTGGCTACCATATTAGAAAATGCACATAGAAAACATTTCCATCACTGTAGCAAGTTCTACTGGACAACACTGGTCTAGATCTGTGGGTAGGAACACTGGATGTTGTGCTGCTGCTGATTAAATAGCATCAATAAAGGGAGGATGTTAACATTAATGACAAATTTAAGTTTTAGATGAAAAACTAGAGAACTAATGTAGTTATTTAAAAATAATACTGAGTTATTTGTGTCAAGTCTACATGGTTATGGATTGAATCTCTGTGTTCCCTCCCCCCAACCCAAATTCATGTGTTGAAGCCTTAACTCCCAATGTATTAGGAGGTGGGGCCTCTGGGAGGTAATCAAGGTTTTAGATGAGGTACTGAGGGTGGAGCCCCATGGTTACATTCATGCCCTTTTAAAAAAAGAGACACCAGAGCCATGTGAGGACACACAAAAAAGATGGCCATGTGCAAGCCAAGAAGAAGGCCTTAACAAAGTACCAAATCTGCTGGCACCATGATCGTGGACTCTCCCACCTCCAGAACAATGAGGAAAAAAATGGCTGTTGTTTAAGCCACCCAGTCTACAGTACCAAACCCAACTAAGACACCTACTTATTAAGCAGGTCAGTAACTTTAAATTTTATTTAAGTCTGCAGCAGTTATAAGGAAAAAACTTTAAAATCCTGTCAGGTTAACTGTATCTCATATAGCTCAATTTCCAATTTTCAGCTTGCTATTGCTGGTAAAGGCCAATGTGCTCAAATGTTTTAAATTAACGAAGTAATACCATCTACATGAAATCTGGATTAAAAGGGAGGCATGGAGTTATGGGAGGCAGAGAAACCATTGATGCGCTCAGCAAGTCATTTCAGTGCCTAATAAACTTTAATGTAACCGCATATCCCTTATTTATCTATATAGCTGGACCACTCTTGTCACTGACCACAAAAAGGAGTATGCAGTTTTCAATTAGTTATAATAACAGTCCCAAGAAACAATTACTTACATTAATTTATATTTGACATTATAAAGTGAATTAAAACCATATCGTTTTTAGCTTGTGTTCAGAGTGGTAGAGGAGTTGAAGCCTAAGGTTTTAAACAGAAAAAGTGACTTGGGAAGTACTATTTTAAATCTGAGCATAAGTTAAAGAGCAAGAATTCAGGAAAAGTCCTCAACAGTTTTAAGGAAATTACTGTATGTGGGGGGGAAAAAAACCACACAAATCATTTGAGGAAACAGTATCTTTTCAAAAAAACTTAAAATCCTAGTATATCATCAATGGGCAGAAACACAGGAATACTGCTTCCAACTCTCTACACAAAGCAAATATCTGCTTATTAGTTATGGCACTCTTATCCACGAAAATCCACGGAGTTTCCACTGGAGTTGGCACAGAAAATCCACTGGAGTTGGCATAGAAAAGAGATGTATTTACTATCCGAGGACCCCAGAATATCTTTTATAATGATTCTGAGTCAGGTCATTTAAGTAGTGAATTCCAAATACCTAGGCACATTACCTCCTAACTATCCTAGCAGTTTGCCATCCAGTCATTCACTGGCTTATGTGCTACGTGGGGGTATCTGGAGAACACAGAGTACTGAAAATGCACCATTTTCCTCACTACTCTTTCCCATTCCCCACGTTCCTTTACTTTATTCAGAATTTTCTTCCTAAACTTGAATACATTAAATTACATTTTTTTTTCCCCTGGACAACTTTTTGTCCAGGCTTCTCTTCTAACCCAAAGACCTGATTTATCATGTATTTATTTATTTTAGGGCTCTGTGATCTGCCTGCAGTCTGGTTTACTGAATGTCTTGAATAAACACAATAAATTTTACCAGATGTCTGTTGTGAGTCAATTCCTATGATGGACACTGGAAATATAAATACAAGCTATTTTACACCTTATAATCTATCATTTATACATAATTTCCAGTGTTTGTGGACATGTTTTAATGGAGTTTTATACCTCACCTCAAAATAACGTGTTACATTTAGCTTTTTAAGAAAGCTAAAAACCAACTATCAGGTAAATTCACAATTTATAACTACTTACTTAACTTCTGTTTACTACATACTGAAGTAATAGCTATGTTCATTAATCATTATCAGCTTACATCATCAGTGGTAGCAAGGCTTTCACTGGGGGTAAGTTCTGAGTTTGATGCTATCCAAGTACCAGAATTCACTGATTTTACATTTTCTCCTTCTTTTTCATGGTTCTCAGAAATATGTCTGGATACTATGTCCTAAATAAGAAAATAAGAACGTTACTTAAGTAAAACATTTATTTTTTATCACCAATTTAAACAACAAGCAGACAGAAGAGCAAATGAATGCTCCTCACCTAGTATATTATGAGGAAGAAATAACATTAACGATAAAACACTAAAAAATTGCTCAGAGAAAGACTTTATCCAAAGGCTACTGAAGCTGTACAAGAAGTTGTAAATAAAATGCCAAGAAAGCGCATGAAAAACAGATAATACATATGGAACAGAATGTACTTCAGTCTAAGAAAGCAACCAGATACACTCATGAAGAAAATCGGTACCAGGTAGGGTGGGAAAAAGAATGTTAGGTACCAGATACCTGCAATGCATATAAAGCCCTTTGTCTCAAGTAGTCTGTATTAAGTAGCTGAAGTTCATGGAAGAGTTCAATTAGAAAATGTGGACGAGATTCGTTTTGAGAAATTAATGTAGCCACTTCAGAATAAATAGTATCCCGCAAAGCTTCGAACATGGAAAAATCACTCCCAGTTTCTGGAAGATACAAAAGATCAGGTTAAAGTTAACAATGATAAAATACATTCCTGGCAATTTCTATTAGCTTGTATCATTACTCAGGTTTAAATTACTTAAAAATCAAAACAGACTTAATTCTATTTTAGAACTTTCAAAGTAGCAAAAGAATCTTAAAAATTACCAAGATAAAAATAATCTCAAAAAATACCAAGATATATACAATATATTAGAGAAATACTTAAATGCATGGATAACATTACCTAGCATCACATTACTCAGACCATATTTATTTCTCAAAAAAAATTATCTGGAAAATTTTACACATTTCATAGGAATAATCAGTAGAAATCTTTCAGAACTTGAATGAAATAAACTGCAAATTTTATTTATTTATTTATTTTGCTAAAAGAACTTTGTTACAGAAAAGGAAATTCATTTAATGTTTAGAACAAACTGAATGCTCACAATAAAAGCTACTATTTTAAGGTCTAATTAGGTCTACTAATTTTCAAATCTCAGCTATCATGCTGTATTGATGGAAAATTTTTGAATGTAACACAATAAAGGTCAACTTTGCTAGTGTCTTACTGCCACACTCAGCAGAAGCTGGACCAGGCATGACCCAATGCACATTTTCAGTTTCACAGAATCTAGGCATCACTCAACGATTCCGCTACATATATTTGTTGATAACACAGAATTATCACTCCTAGAGGTATACAGTCATACCTTTATCGTAAGAGTGAAAATCAGAAACTGTCCCATTTTGAGTTCTATATTTAAAAAAAAATCTTGGGGGCACCTGGGTAGCTCAATCAGTTAAGCATCCGACTCCTGATTTAGGCTCAGGTCATGATCTGGGGGTCATGAGATTGAGCCCCACCATAAGGCTCCACACTCAGTGTGGAATCTGTTTGAAATTTTCTCTCTCCCTCATCCCCTACCCATTCCCCCAACCCGCTCTTACACGTGTGTGCACACTCTCACTCCCTAAAATAACTAAATTCTTCAAAAAAATAACTAAATTCTCCAAGTAGTTCTTCTAGCTATTAAACTCTGTACCCTTTCTAGAGTAATAATAGAACCATGAGTAGTTAAATATTCAAGTTCCACAAATATCTGTGACAAGTTTCTAAAAAAGAGAATTTAAATGTTGGAAGTGTTAATATATTGTGCTTTTAAATAAATACACAAAAATCATAAAGATTTAATTCACTTTTTGTAAGAGAGGGTAACAGAAATGAGGCCTAATGAAAAAACTTCCTACTTACTTATATCTTACATCTTAACATCTTCAGGCCATAATTTCTACAAGTAGAATATAATAACAAATATGCAATTTCCCTATCTTGCCTCATTTATGACTATAAAATAAAATAAAAAGCTAAAGTTCTCTTACTAGTTTTAAAATGTTCAAATGTGATATTATAAGCAGGAACTGAAACTATCTCTGTAGGAAATCTCTACTTAAAGGAAAAACACAGAGAAGATATACGATTTAATACACAGCTTCCAGTTTATATACTATAGTTTGACAAGGTAAATTAGAAAATGTTTATTATTTCAAAGAACAAAGCATACTTAATGACATCTGCCATTCCTCTATATGTGATTAAGTTATCATTCCAAATTATGTATCATTAAAGATTAAATTATCCCTGAATAATGAATGATGCTGAACACACGCTTATTACTGCCCACCCTCCCCCCAGCCCAGCAATAAACAGGTGGAAAGTTTTTGCCAGTTTCTCCTCCTGAACAAAAATCCATTAGTGTAGGCTAGAAAAATCCTTGATCTCAGTCAGGTTTCTCTGAATCCATCTTATTTTTATCCTCTCTATTTTTCAGAATTCTTTTCTTTAGGAAGTGTCACAGATATAATTCAAACTTTGTGCTAGATCCTTATTTTTTTCTTTACATTCTCCTAAAGATTCATAACAAGCTTCTGTTTTTCACTCGCAGGAGGTGTTAAAGAATATCTCTAATTCTAAAACGCACAGAACCGTGTTTAAATACACAGTGTACAGACAAAAACAGTATTTTGGAATCTTTGTAATTTTCCATGCATTTTTATTTATCATAGTCTTTGCATGTCACTGATTTTATTTAATGGTTTATTGACTTATTTTTTTTGTAGATGTTGACTAGTAATGAAAAATAAGCAAGTACAACAGAAGTTACAATACTTAACACTGTAAATCAAAGCTAGGAAAAAGTAACTTTTTATTTCAAAAAATATTAATGCTTTTATGCATTTAAGAATTATAAAATAAGTAACTTCAAATAAAATAATCAATTATAAAAAGAAGTTCTATTATCCTTATGAATGTGTTGGTTATGTTACATACAGTAACTGAAAATGAAACAAGAAAAGCAGCTAATTTTTCCACCCAAGTAAAGAATTACAAGTGAGTATTTTATGAATATGAATTCTCTTTTATAGCCAAACGACATATATCACTAAGCTATATCTAAAAAAAAAAAAATAATAATAATAAGAGCTATAAAACTAAGGATATTTAAGACTAATGGAAAAAAATTAACAAAAAGTGGACACCAAAACTAAGCAGATTGTTACCTGGCGCTTCATTGCATGCATTTCTGTTAGACTGCTGTAGTATTCTCCTAGCATGTGCTGTAGGAAAGGGCAGACATAAGGATGAACATAAAATGTGTATGAATAGCAAAGACAGGGTCCATAATATGAGTAAGTGAATTAAAAAAAAAAAAAAAAAAAAAGGCACGTTTCTTTAAAATTGTTTGCCTGAACTGAACTGTTATCACAAGCTATGTTTACAATTTATTTAAAAAATAATCTTATTAGGGAAAATATCAAAAGATTTGCTATAAACATATACAAACTTAATGTGACTGATGACTGTCCTAATAAACTTCTGCCATTCACTCTTAGAAGCAAACACATCAAGGTGAACCTCCCACACTCCTGAGGGAGGAGAGCACCGTACAATTCAATACTAGCAGTCATATATGCTACTCTCTGGTAGTCATGTAACAAAAACTACTAGTCCATGCTATAAACAATTTTAGAGTAATGATTAAAACTAAGTCTTTTTAGGAAGCGAATATGTAAACACATAAAGGGTATATTTACACAATTTAGGCATTTTTTAGCGCACCAAAATTCAATCATTGTATTTTTTCTAAGTAACAGTAATAAGGTCTTCAGTCCTATAACCGACTATCCATTATTTAGGTAACTCAATAATCCAATTAATAAGCCTTTCAACTTAGTGCCCCCTTCCCCAACCTCCACCAACTATTTACTCCTTGAAGATCTCACTATTTGATAAAGACAGTAAAAGGAGATAAAATTGTAAAATTTTGGTAAAACGCTAGGGTCGCATCAGGAAAATTGATAGTTTTGCCAAAATGATCTAGACTTACAAAAAAGCCAGAATTAAAACTTCCACCCTGCCATTTCTTGGCAATATGACCTTGAGGAAGTCAGTTCAAAATACAAACAAATGTGCTGTTTCTGATTACAAAAGCAATAAATATTCGTTATGAAAGCTTCAGAAAATACAGAAGTCTAAAGATGATAAAATCACTATTAACATTTTGATGCATTTTCTTCTAGTCTTTATTCATTCTGATTTTTTGTTTAAACATAGTTGGAATCATAGTTCAGACAACACTAAATCCCAGTATTTTTTTCCATTTTTGTTTCCTTAGCATAGATAAGTACAATTACTGGGATAAGGCCATGAGGTTTGAGGCTTTCCAGAAAAACTGTACCAGTTTATGTCACTAGCTCTTTATGATGCTGGGAAAAAAACAGGGATATTCTCTGACCATGTTTCCTCATCTGCAAAATGGAAGTAAAACCAATTCTCAAATGAGACGAATAATTTAATTTGTAAATAGTAAAGCATAATGCGAATGGTAGCTGCTACTCTCACTTTTCACCAAGGATCTTACTGACACCTGACAACTGAGGGTTTCTATTTACTGCCTCCCTCTCCATGTTTTTTTGAGATGTACTTGTTCTTTATAAATCAGGAAAGTACCAGTACTTAAAACAGCAGCAAAATGTAACTCTGTTCATTCACTGGATTAACACCTAGTAAGTGCCTACCATGTGTCCAGTACCATGGCAACATTCAAGGCATCACCTGCTGCAAAGGAATTCAAAAAAGGTGATGAAGACACTTGAGTAAATACTATATAACTGTGATATGGGCAACAGAAGAGATTCACACTGGCTACAAAAGAAACGAAAAAGGAGAAAGGGAAAATTCTCTGAGCTTCGATTTGATGCAAATTCAGAGTTGCAGAATTAATAGTTTATTTAAGACTCCAATAGAGAAAAAGGTTTACAAAGAGCAAAAGACAGAAAAGACACCTGCTGAGGTGAGAAACAGCAAGACAGCTAGAGGAAAACTTTAGTACAGTGCCACCAAAGAGGCAACTTCAAGGCAGAGAGGGTGGGGAGAAAGAGTCTAGAGATGCAAAAAGGAGCCAAACTCTGCTGGCCAGATGCTGCATTAAAAGCACTTGGATTCTAACCTGCAAGCATGGTAAAGCCAAAGATTTTTAAACAGGGAATGATTTTATATCAAATTCTTATTCAGAGAAGATTTTTAAAATTTCAAATCAGCTCCAAATTAATGTCAACTATACTTTTTTCCTTAAAATTTCATCATGAAGTGTCAAAAGCTACTATCAGAATACTAAAAAATATTTCTAGTTTACATTTCTTGATATCAAGGAATGTATACTGTAATCTTCTAGTACATATAACCTTGCACATGACAGAAAAGTGTGACACACCAATTGCTTTTCAAATCTAAGATGAAGTCCTTAGATTAAAGCAAACCAAAAAAGAACATACCTGAAGATATTTCTGTAGATCTACTACATTTTATTATTTTTTCCAGCTGCTCATGATTCTTTCTGCTGAATACTTTTGCTTGAACAGGCTCTTCAGTCTGGGCTGAATGTCTGTTCCTACTTTTGCAAGGTTCACATGTGCTAGACATACTGGCACTTTCATACCCTTGAGTAAAAAAAGTGACAACTGTTATCAGTTGCAACTAACTCAAACTGAAAGGGAAATTGATTCCCATAGTGAAATAGCACAGGTACTCAATTTAGAATGCTGTATAAATAGAAAACAGTAAATACAATGTCTTATGACAACCTTTGGAAGGATGGGGTAACAGTTAAAATATTCTAACAATTCATCATCCTTTGAAACCACCTTCATGAGTACATCCCAACTCAAACTATACTGTAGACCTTATATGATCCAAATTCTCTACTAGTCTCCAAGTTAACCATTTTTCAGTATTAGGAAATACAAGAAAGAATCACATCCAATCTACATAAAACGTCCGTAACAGAAGAGTAATGGGCATTAATCAGGTATGTCTGCCTTCTTATAACCTGTATGCAATATGACTTGATTTAAAAGGTCTTACCCACTCATAGGTGTTATATATATATATATATATATATGTCTAAATTTTCCTTGCTATATGGCACAAGTTTAGAATTCAACTTTATTTTGTTTCACATGGATACTTGGTTATACCTACCCTATTCCCAATGAAATAAAACGCAGCCTTGGTCAATATATTCAGTCTCCGTATTTATTGAGGTTTATTTCTGGGCATTCTAGCTGTTTAATTTATCTATTCCAATGCCATCTTCATTCTTTTAGCGAAAGAAGTTTTACAGAACGCTTAAACACCTGGTAAGGCAAGTCCTATGTAGGTAGTTTCTTTTCTTGGCTATTCTTAGACATTTGTCCTTCCCTGTAAGCTTTGAGATTTTTTTTCCAATTTCAAAAACAGTCCACAGGGATTCAAAACAGAATCACATTAAAAGCACTTATTAACTCAAGGAGAACTGGTATTTAATAATTTTACACAATTTTTAAGAACACAGTTTTTGTTTTTCATACTTGTTCAATCTTGCTTTGTATTCTTCAAAAATGTTTATAATTTTTTATAGATCTAGTACTTTCCTTGTTAAATTTACTCCTAAGAATTTCCCCCCCAATAGCTTCGGATACTACTATGGGAAGACTATTTCCCCCCACTTCCATTCTACTGAGTGTTACTAGGATAGAGAAAAATATTTGCATACTTATTTCATAACCAGCTGCTTTACTAATTTACTTTGTTAACTTTAGTAGCTATTTTCCAGTGTTTCTTGGGCTCTCTCAGAAAAGTAAAAATTTATTTTCCTCCTTTTTCAATATTTATGCCAATTATTTAATTTCTTGTCATAATATTTTCCAAACAATGTTAGATAACAATGGTGGTAGAGAGGGAATCCCTGATTAATTTCTAATTTTGATGTAGATTATATTTGGAGTATTTTCATTTACAATGTCATTTGTGACTGGCATTAGCTAACAGCTTTCATTATTTTAATTATTAAGTAACTGTCTACTTAGATGCATTTTACTTGTGATTTTTGTTAGAACTGACTTCAAATTTTATCTCATCTACTGCTATGATTATATGCCTTCTGTCCTTCAATTTCTTGACATGAAAATTATGTTGACAGATTTCCTGATAATGAACCACGGTTACATTTCTGTAATAAACCCTATTGACAACAGTCTGATACTCTTTTTGATATACTGGGACATTAAATTGGCTAATATTTTACTTTTGAATTTATATTAGTAACTGAGATTGATCTACTGTTTACTTGTTTTTTTTTTAGTTATTTATTTATTTGATAGACAGTGAGAGAAGGAGCACAAACAGGGGGAGTAGGAGAGGGAGAAGCAGGCCTCCCGCTGAGCAAGGAGCCCGATGTGGGGCTTGATCCCAAAACCCTGGGATGGTGACCTGAGCTGAAGCCTGATGCTTAACGACTGAGCCACCCAGGCACACCACGAAAGTTAATTCTTTTTTTTTTTTTTAAGTATAATTTTTTACTTTTTATTAACATATAATGTTAATTATTAGCCCCAGGGGTACAGGTCTGTGAATCGACAGGTTTGCACACTTCATAGCACGTAACTTCCCCAATGTCCATAACCCCACCACCCTATCCTTACCTCCCTCCCCCGGCAACCCTCAGTTTGTTTTGTGAGATGAAGAGTCTCTCATGGTTTGTCTCCCTGATCTACTGTTTTCTTTACTGAACTGTTATCTCCCCTTTTCACCTTTCCCTATAAAGGTGTCTAATCTTGATTCATATGTTGTTTCTGTTGTTTTCCTCAGGTAAGATGCACCAAGATCTTTTCACTGTGACAAGTGAAGGCTCTAGTTTGAATATAGGATTCTTGAGTTGCAGTACTTTTTTGGGACATTATTTCACTTTCTTCTATTTCTTCCGTTGTCTAATGTCAGTTTGGTTCTTTCTCATTGTATGAAATTTGTTCTTGCAGTCTGGAAGCTTACTAGATTTTTACTTTTTCCTTGGAATTAAGCAATTTTGTCAGAATATACATAGAGGTATGTGTATCTTTTACCCCTTGCCTCCTGGCTGGACAACAGTTTGGTGTTTTGATCTGCAGTCTACAGTCTTTCTTCATTAAAGATTCCCCTTTATTATTACTTATTTAATTAGTGCCTTTCCACCTGTTTTTTCTCCTCCTTTAGTATTCCCTATATATCATATCTCCAAGATTTGTCATCGAGCCTCTAATCATTTTCCTCTTGATCTTATCTTAGTATTTTCTGCTCTGTACAAATGGTGTTAATTCTTCCCCTCAATTTGCTAGGCCAGTAATTTGGGACTTAATACCATCCACTTTTTTGAACAGTCTAAACATTAAATGTGAAAATCATTTTTTCTAGTTCTACAGAATTTGTTACAACTCAATCTGCCTAAGTGTTTTTTATGATTTTGTTCAAGTGTGTATATCCTTCAATAACTGCTTTTACCTGTTCTAGTGTTCTGCTTCTGTCTTCTCTCTGGCTACTGGTCCCTTTTACATGCATTTTTACATTCACTGGGCTAGTCAGGACTGATATCTGCCCTTAAGGCTGGACCCAACTGCCGGATAGCTGCCCTGGCATGCTGACAGTACTCTTGGAAGTCTTACTCCTATGGTAAAGCAGTGTTTTTGCTAGCAAGTTGTCAGACATCGAGAGAGTAAGAAGAAGCTTCTCTATTCAGTCTCCTCGGCTGCAAAGGCAAATGCTCTCATAGATGCAAGGTAGGGGGAATGCCACCTACTTATACTTTCCCATTAGTACCTTGAAGTGACAAAAGCCTGCTATTCTTGGAAGGAAGGGAGGTGTCAAGAATAGGAGGGGCCTGGATGTTGGCCCGCCAACCAAGTTTTCTCCGGGAACGGTAGAGCTCTGACCTTTGCCCCTGACATTCACTGAATGAGCCAACAGAATCTAAAGCCTTACTATTACAGTCTCCAGACCACAATAGCTGCTCTGCAAATAACAAGTAAGTTCCCAATATACTGTCAGTTTACTCTCTGTCATATCCAATCTGGAGTTAACCTTCCCTTTTTATTTTTAAGGACGTCATTCAAGTTAGGACTTTATCATCTCATATTTGGGTTCCTGATTTCCTTTTTGGTCTCTCAGACTAAAGTCTAGCTGCTCTGATCCATTCTGCATGAAACTTACTGGAAAAGGAGCCCTCTTGGGTTACTTTTGACCTTACCATAAACAGGTTCAGCAATAAGGGTACACAACTGCCAAAAGTAATCGATAACTAGGAATTAATGAAGGTTAATGATACCTCAGAGTTACACTGGCTAGGCCAGCTAGTCTACCACCACCACCACCACATAACGGTCATTAGCGGAAAGGTGTGACCTCCTATCCCATTCGTCACTCTGTACCTTGCACACAATCTGTTTTTCTCAGCACCAGTGGCAAGACAGTCAGAAAAAAGAGTACTTCTAGTTGTGTCTCCACTTTAGGGACACAGCTCAGCCATGTCCTCTGGTGGCACCCTAGAGATCTTACACATATCCACACAGGCCACAAAGGTAAAGACTGAACTGCAGCTGAGCCTAAGTCTTGACAGAAGGCCTGATGATCCTCCTGGAGCACAGAACACAAGAACACAGGAGGCTTGTGAGGAACTGCTACTTGGCCATCTGTAAATCTGTCATGAAGAGGTTCTCATCTCCTCCTCATTTCTGAGGAAAGGGGAGACCTTTCTTTCTCACACTCTGAGGACACACCTCCAGACTAAAGAGTGGTGAGTAGTAGCTGCAGCACAACACTGGCTCCTCAACAACAGGGGTTCCACCACTCAGGCTGTAATGGTCACCTGGCCTCTTCGGTTTCAGTCTTCCCCTTGTGGCCCGCAGGACAAAGAACACAGGGAGTGGGGACTTCCAGCTACCCTCACTTTCTCTGCCTATGTAAATAATCAGCTCTCTGAATCTAAAAAGGATTGTTTCTTTCCTGGCCACATCTGTCAGGCCTTGCCCTTCCTAACAACTGGCATCCATTTCATCTCAATCTTCATTCATAAACAAAGGAAAGGGAAGAGAAAAGAAAAGACTCAGGGACGGTTACAGTATATTAACAGTTCTATCCAATTTTCAAAGAAAAGAATGAAGAAGATCTAGATTATATGATCCCACTGCTCTCTGATAGCATCAAAAAAGGAAATGGGACCTGGTAGTGTGTAGCCAAATTACAGGTCTGATACCTGAAGCACACAGAAAGGCAAGAAAACATGCTCAACTCAGAAAGTCTGAATTGGAATTTAAGTTTAAAAGATGATTATCACTATCACGTAATTTGTAAAACCTTACTTCACATGCAGTGATATGTAACTTTACATATAAAGACCTTCTAAAGATTAATATACATTACCATTAGTAGAAACAAAGTTCAATGAAGATTTAGCATGCTACCTCTGAAAACTGTCCCCAAGTGCAAAAACATACATAAACAGTTCAATCTAGTAGATCTGGTACAGCATAACTGGCTGTGCTGCCTCTCTCAAGAGAGCAACTCAAGTCCCACCACACTGGTCTATTTCTCATATCCTATTGCCTTCCCCAACTGCTCTCATCTTCTTTTCCCGCCACTAAACTTTTTCATTGTTACTACAGTTTAGAATGCCTTCCAATATTCTCTACATCCACCTATATTAAAGACTAGTAAATATCCTATTTTCTAAGAAATCATGGCTATTCTTCTCCCATAAAATAGCAGTGGTCTAGATCAGTGCCCCTCAGACTTTAATGGGCACATTTTCATATTGAAAACATCTAGAATCTTGCTAAAATGTACACTGAAAAGCAATGTGTATTAATTCAGTTAGTATAAGGTGGGACCCAAGAGTGCATTTTTAATAAGCTCCCAGACAGATACTGATGCTACTTGTCCATAGTTCCCACTTTGGATAGCAAGGGTTTAGCTGACTGATTTGATTTTTGCTACATATTAGCTTGACTCTGCATATATTAGTTAGATTCTGCTATCAAGTCTTTGATTTTTGTGTGTGTCTTAAAGTAGGGCTTTCACTGACAGATCATCTTGAATGCCTGTCGAACAAATGTGTATATTATGTTTCTGGCAGTTATTTTTATACTTGTAATGGAAGAGAGCACATAGATCAGAACAACAGTCTTTGCCTTGAAGCAAAAAAGCTGAATTATATATACAGAACCGTAATTCCTCAAAATAAAGGGGTTTCAAAAATAAATAAATAAATAAATAAATAAATAAATAAATAAAAATATATATATATATATAAAATAAATATTATTTCTAGGTTTAGGTAGATATGGCCATTTGCTGGCTTAAGGGTTCCCTAAGACCCTGCTATTTAGAGTGAAATTCACAAACCAAGATCAACAAGACATGGAAACTTGTTAGAAATATAGACCTTTGGGTCCCTACCCAGACAGAATCAGTCTGCCTTTAAACAAGATTCTCATGGAGAAAAATTAAAATTTAAGAATCGTTGTCCTAGCACATTCAACTGGCTGAATGAGAAAATGCTATAAAATAAGTTATTAGTGTTTCTTCATTTATTCATATGGCCAAAAAAAAGCATTTCTGTTGGGGTAAGGTAACAGAGATAGGAAGTTCAATGAGTTACCCAAGGGGCCACTCTCTAAACATGGCCATGGTTCATTGTCTACTTAAGCGTTCTCTGGTGGCACCAAGAGCAATCTTGGAGAAAGCAGAGTAGTTGGATTTTCATTCATTTGTATCACTAATCTGCTACATAAAATCAGCTCCTCCCAAACCTATAATGATAAAATATTTTCAAAGATAATAACATGTGTGCTGAGAAAACTATCATCCCTGCTCAAATCTGCTTGTTTCACCATCGAATCAGACTCTGAATTCAGATGGGAGTAGCGGTAGGAGCCAAGGACATGAAGGTTATAAGAACTGAAATGAAATAAAAGAGCAGGTAGTCTTTCTTACATCCAGTTTTCATCAGATTTTTCAAATGTCTCACTAACCAAAAATGGCTAATATGAAGGCTGCAAATGTTTACAAGTGTATTTTTTACCATAGGGTTTCCTAGGACCTCATATCCTTGCATATATTGGGAGCTTCCGAGAGAGTGAGCTGTATGTGGTGACTTTTCAAACTTTTCTGATTATAAGTCTTAAATACTTTGTCCTTAAGCACTAAGTACAATCTCCTTGAACCCAGAACAACCTCTCAAAAAGCTGCAAAGCATCCCTAGCAAACTTAAAGGAGGATCCTTTAACTCTAATATTCCAGATTCTAGTTAATAAAACTATTTCTACCTAGCACTAGACTTGAATAAATCCTTCAAAATTCGAAAAACCTATTTTTTTTAAATGACATGCAGTTAATACTATCAAAAGAACTTTGATAGGCTATCCAATGACAAGATTCAATAAAACAAGGGTTAATGTTTCACCTTATTAATTTAACTTCCTTAAGGACTAAGAGCAAACTTGTTTTAAAAGTGGTTTCACCAGAAATCATAACAAAATGTTGGATGTAGGATAAGATGTAAAAAGAATGTAAAATAGAATGTAAAAAGAATGAACAACAGTAAAAATTCGGCCCTTTGGCAACCTTTAGTAACCTACAAGATTTACAAAACATCTTCTAAGCTTATAGTAACCACACACACAGGAAATATAAGAATATCTACAACATTAAACCCTATTTGATAAATTTTATATAAAAACTTATGAAGGTAACTAAAAATAACTTTATTCAACTAGCCCTAGAACAGTGCTTATCCATTTAGCCACAATGAAATGAAGTATGTCAACATGCCAGAATAGTTATCAACATTTACACCGATCAATATTCAACAAATTTTGACACTTACCAATATTTTTAACTCTGCTTTTCAGCTGAGTAGAATGCCTTTTCTTACTCTTTGATTTAGGAGTTTTATCTTTAGATGCCAGGCTGGCCTGTGCAGATGCTTTCCTTGTCTTGAATGTTTTGGTTACTGTTGTTGGATCCACTGGGTCAGGCATACTGCTAAAGCTTTCTAATGACTCTTCATCAAACTGGCGTCTTCTCCCGCTGGTGTCTAATTGATTTTTGCGATTACTATTTGTAGTTTTCTCTACAGACACTGGAAATCCAGTCTTGATAAATGGTTTTTCTACATCACCTTCTTGGTCATATAACCATGGTGTCCTACTGTTTTCCACCTCCTCTTCAGGCTGTTTTTGATTCCTGACCAATGAAAATAAATTTTTACAGATACGATGACAGAGTTCTCTGTTTACTGGAAAACTGCAGATATAGTAAATAGATTTAGGCAAATAAAAACATCAACAGGCTCTAAAAACATTTTCATAGAAATATACATTAAATATGTAAATATTATACAGGTTAATGTCCTTAAATACTTTAAATATTTTCTTGGGAGGGAGAATCTTTTTTTTTTTTTTTTTTTAAGATTTTATTTGAGAGAGAGAAACAGAGTACAAACAGGGGAAAGGACAAAGGGACAAGTACGCTCCCCACTGAGCGTGGAGCCCAACAGAGGACTCAATCTCAGGACCCTGAGATCATGACCTGAAGTCTGACGCTTAACTGACTGAGCTACCCAGACACCCCAGAGAGAGAATCTTAAAGCAGGTTCCACACCCAGCGTGGAGCCCAAAACAGGGCTCGATCTCACAACACTAAGACATGACCCGAGCTAAAATCAAGAGTTGGATGCTTAACTTAGTGACCCAGGGGCCCCTTTAAACTTTAGTATCAGACCCTTCTCACTAAACCATTTTCACTGGCAGAAGCTGCAGACAAATGATCTAGCACTCATGATGAAAAAGAGTGGGAAAGAAAATTTTAAAAAACAATGGAATATACAAGAAAAAAACAAAACACTTGGAGAAAGAGCTGAGAAAGAGTTGTATGTAGTAGAGGGTTTGGCACTATACACAAATCTGTGTCACCAGAAGCAGTTCAAAATAGAACTGGAATTGGTGAAAACAATTGTCCATGCAACTCATAATTTATTCCTCCATTCATTAAGCACAGTTTAGTTCTATTGGTCTGGTGTCATTTTCCAAATTTTATCTGCTAAACACTGACATCATTTAATATGTTAACAGGTATTTACTGACCATCTAAATTTGGCAAACAAGAAACAAAGTTAAACATGTCTGCAAGATTTCTCAAAACTTTAAACATGCCAATGTCCTATACAAATGTCTTAGAAGTGAACATAGTGAGCAAAATGTCCCAAATTTTTATCACAGAACCTGACATGAACAATAGTGTTCTGAAGAACATGATTTAGGAGACACTGACCTCCAGGTTTCAAATTAACATAAAATTAGCAAACCTATAGTCTGCAGGCCAAATTCAGCCTGCTAGCTATTTCTGTATGGCCTGAGGGCTAAAATGATTCTTTCTTTTGAAAGGAAAAAAAAAAAAAAAAAAGATTTTTAAATTTATTTTAGGAGAAGGGGGAGGGCAGAGGGAGAGAGAGAGAAAGAATCTCAAGCAGATTTAGCACAAAGCCCAACCTGAGGCTTGCCTGGTCCCACCCACGAGATCATGACCCAAGCTGAAATCAAGAGTTGGGACACTCAGTTGACTGAGCGGCCCAGGTGCCCCTAAAATGATTCTTACAAAAAGTAAAATAAAATATTCTTATATTCTTACATGGTTGAAAAAAGTCAAAGGAAGAAAAATTGTTTGTGACAGAAATTATGTAAAATTCACATTTCAGTACCCATAGATAAAGTGTTATTGGAACACAGCTGCTTGTTCACATATTGTTTATGGCTGCTTTCATGCAAAAATGGCAGAAATAAATGGTATGCAATATTTATCATCAAGCCCTTTCCAATATAAGTTTTCTGACCCCAGCTCACTACAATGTTTCATCTGACCTCTTGTTACCTCTAGCCATTAAAGTCAGGGAAGCTACCTATTTAACAGTTGACATTTTGGGGAAATGAGGTCTAATCTGAAGTAGGTCAAATATCTCAAATAATATTATATATCCAAATCCACCCTTTTTTACTATTAATTATATATAAAATGTGGATAATAATAAAGTAGGGACCTTCCAATAGCAAAGCTATTCACTAAAGCGTTGAACAAATGTTTATTGCTTATGACAGAAATTCATTCAACCATCATTTCTGAATGGCAACTGTGCCCTAAACACCATTAGGCTCTGACATTGGAGTACTTTTAAAGAGCAATAGGATGTTTAATTGAAAGAAGTGGTTAGTAGATCTAAGAAAAAGTCAGGGAGGTCAACCATAGGATTCCTAGAGTCAAATACAGTTGAATTCTAAGAGGTTTTGTTTAATTAGGTTAAAAAAAAAATCCATGATTTAATAATTAAATAGTGCCAAAATGATTACTTAAGTGCTCGAAGACATGCCCAATCATACAACTAAAGAGAAAAGTGATGTGAATTTTATATTTGTAAAGGTCTGCGAAGACAAAATAAAAGAGATACTTCTTACAGAAGTATAGGCTGAACTGACCTCTAATTTTTCATCCTAAAAAGTTTTTTTCTGAAGTAAGTACAACTAACAATAAAAAAACTATAGTTTTACCAGCTGGCTATCAAAATCATTTTCTGGATTAGCACAATCATTAAGAATGTTATTTATTTAGCTATAAATATATAGAATGATTTACCTGACTCAACCAACTAGTCTTTTACACTATCTGAGTCAAAAATTTTATGTGGGAAGACTATCATATTAAAAAATAACACTGGGGCGCCTGGGTGGCTCAGTTGGTTGGACCACTGCCTCCGGCTCGGGTCATGATCTCAGGGTCCTGGGATCGAGTCCCGCATCGGGCTCTCTGCCCGGTGGGGAGCCTGCTTCCTCCTCTCTCTCTCTGCCTGCCACTCTGCCTACTTGTGATCTCTGTCAAATAAATAAGTAAATTCTTAAAAAAAAATGTTTAAAAAAAAAAATAATAACACTGAGGAAAAAAGTATGTTAACACTGAGAAACAGAGAAAGAAATCCTGACTATGACTGATAGCATCTATCAATAATGTAATAGTGCTCAACATTACACTCAGATAGGCCTTAAGAACATATTCTAATCAGGAGCCATCACTTTACAAGTATCATCTAGTAGTTAATATTAGTTTCTAGCCCTAAAGTGAACTTAAGGACAGATATCAAATCAAGGCAAGAGACATTTTATGGGTCAGGTCTTATCCTTCACTCTGATCAAAACAATGAATTATTCCTGTTATCAGGATTAGTGGCAGATGTATGCCTGAGACACCTGGTAAAGTAGCAGCTGAATATTCTCAATGCTAACAAGCCAAACAATAACAAGCATCCTTCCTCACTGTGTTTGCAAATTAAATATAATTAGATATAATCATATAAGTAACATTTAAGAAAATAATGGATTAGGTGCACAATCAAGTACCTTTGTTTTTCTGCTCCAACAGAAGAACTGCTTTCAAAAGGTTTTGGAAAAGCCATATATTCTGTTTTCCCTGAAGAGTTCTGGGCTAATGGTTGCTGCTGTTCAGTGGGTGTAGAAATATTCTGAGAAAAATCTCCAAAATTAGAAGGAAATAAAGGGCTGAAATTCATACCTAATAAATAAAAGAAATAGGTAAGACAACAATAAAAGAAGTACCTAAAGGTCTTAATACAAAATTAAAACACAGTTTTAATTAAATGTGTCACTCAAATCCACCAAAACAAGTAACTGTTAAACTAATATTCATTTGTTCAATCACTGTTTACAGTTCAGCCCACTAGCTTTTTGGCAGTGATGACTGAACAAAGTAACAGGTAAATGCCTACAAGCGTCTGGTACCCGGTAAGCTAATGAATGTCAAATACTATTACTTCTAACTTTTTAGCTCTGAAGGGATGAGGATTATTTATTTACATGTTATTTTGTCTAATGCTCAAACAACACTATGACATAGGTATTAAATTATTTTTACCAGGAAGAAAACCGGCTCAAAGATTAAACAGCTAGTAAATGGAAGAGGAGGTCAGAGCTCAGGTCTGCACAACTCCAAAGCTTATATTCTTTCCACTCTACTTTAACTGGGAAACTAGAATAGAACTAAGTTCTTACCACACAGTGCCATATGAGATATATTTGCAAGGGGCGACTAACAACTTGGTGGGGGAAAAGGGGTGAGAAAAGGCTTCACAATATTAGTTTGTGAAGAATGAATAGTCTGCCCAAGGCTGCCACAGGCATGAGGCATATTAGTGTAAAAGAAGTGCCTGAGCTATTTTTAATATTATCTGTTACCTAGAAAGCCACGCAAAAAACGTTTGCTGCTGATATTCATCGGTGCTCAAGAACTAAAACGCTTGTTAAATGTGCTAATGCTATTATTTTTATAATCCTGCTAAGAAAATACACTGCTATTTTTATTGATTTATATTCACAAAGCCCTCCAGCCCTTCCAACCCTTTTTCTCCTCCTATATTCCCTGGCAAACACCTTCAATTCCACTTCATTCATGACTCACCTCATCTAACTGATCACTTAATTTATTCTACCTTTAGAAAGTCTTTTGATTTACTCCTAGTTCTATACCCCTCCTGCCAATGCCTTAGATCCAGCTGTCCTTTCTCTGGTATTACTACAACAAACAGCCTTCGGTTTCCTATTCACCGTAGGATACTCTTGGCTCCTCTCTCAAATCTCTGCAACACTATTACTAATGTGATACTCCTAAAACAGAAATCTCATGCTATCCCCCTCCTCAAAATCCTTCAGTGACCCCTCTGGAAGGCAAAAGAAAGTCTAAGATCCTTTGAATTGCACAGAAAGTCTCTGCTGCTCTCCAGCTGTATCAATTACTCTTCCCCTGCTAAGGCCCTAGACACTAGCCATACTTAATGACCTCTAAATTCTCTATGCGATACACTCTTTCACTGCTTTGTAACTCTCAGCGGATCCACTGATTAGAAAGTCCTTTCTCCTCTAATATCCCTGGAAATAAATTTTGTTCATTCTTTAAATAATGTGCTTTCCGGAGGGAGTGGGGCGAGAGACCTGCTGATAATTTCCTTCCCTAAGGAAAGGCAACTCCCCTCATTTGTACCACTGCTACCATCCCCATGGCACTGCACGGAGCACCTACTGACATGCTTAGCTTCCTCACTAGATTCTAAATGACTTTAAGCGTTCATTTTACTCATCTGAATCCCAGTCATTTATATGGTATCTGAGACATAACAGGTGCAGAAAAAATAAAAGCCAAAGCTAAGTAAAATTAAATTTAAGCCTAAGCTAAACCTTAGTCTATAACGTATCCTCCCTAACCACACAGTGCCCGATGTGCAGCAGCCACAGGATAGGTTGATACCCTTTTTCCTTTATAAATAGTTGCTAAATTAATTCAAAGGTATAAGACTAAGCAACCTCTCATAAGTAGTTGACTTAATTTCATTAGCAACCATTGCAAACTTAAGTTTTCACCACAAAGAATCAATGTAGGAAAGTTCGTAACTTTCTTTGCATACACCTCCTACCATTCCAGAAGAGACCAATTAAACTCCATGCAATAGACAAAGAATATTGTCAAGCACTTTGCATTTATTTATTTCCTCTTAAGTTTGTAGTCACTTACCTGGTGTAAATGATGAAATATTAGTAAATCCGGGTAGGTTAAACAGATTTACAGGCTGTGGTGGAAAGCTGAAAGGACAAAATAAACTGGGAGAAGAAGGGTGTGATGCACTGCTGCCTCTTTCCTTGCTTCCAGGTTTTTCTGGGTGCTGATTTTGTTGGCGCATAAGTTCATTTAGCATTTGTTTCAACCTACAAATATTTAAGAAGTTAGTAACTTACAAATCAGTTATATTACCGTCTATTTACAATACCTTCATAAAAAAGGACATGTAAAAAGTGATTCAAGAGCATGCAAAAGAGATGGACTGTTTTAATATTTACTACAACAAACATCTGTTTGTCCTGCAGGCTTACTTAATAACTTGGCCTTTGGAACAAGAACCGCACTTACCACTTTGACCAGATAAAAAGCATAACTATAAGAAATGCATATAGTTTTGTTATTAAGAACTTTACCAAGATATAATTTACATACCATACAGATCACCTGATATAAGTGTGAAGTTGAACACTGAAAAAAAAATTTTTTTTAAAGATTTTATTTATTTGACAGAGAGAGAGGTCACAAGTAGGCAGAGAGAGAGGGAAGCAGGCTCCCTGCTGAGCAGAGAGCCCGATGCAAGGCTCGATCTCAGGACCCTGAGATCATGACCTGAGCCGAAGGCAGAGGCTTAATCCACTGAGCCACACAGGTGCCCTGAACACTGAAAATTTTTAAAAACTAAAGTCTACAGTATTAAAAGGGAACATCGGGCAAATCATTGTTAGTAAAATTTTCGGGTATAGAAAATGTTTGAATATTCAATTCTGCTCATGTCCTTTCCCCCCCAGAAGATAACTATAAAACACATGCTCAGCTTTAGCATCTACTACATAGTTTTACTGCTCCTAAGAAACACATTACCTTTGCACATTATTCTGTTGCCATGTTAGCTGAGTATAGCACTGGTTCAACTGGTGCATGATAAGGTGTACCTGGGGGGAGGCAACATTGCTTGGCATCACACTGTAAGGACCCGTGAGAAGAGTTTGTAGCAGACAAGATAGCGTCTATGGAAAGACAAATTGTCATAACAGTTATTGATGACTTGAGAAAAATGTGCATGCTTCAGAAACAAGATATAAAAAATGCACTTTCATAGTAAACTTTACCTGTTGGTCTTGCATCAAAGTCTGACAAATATTGACACTGAAATCAAGTTGTTTCTTTAGCTGATTAATTTGTTCTTGCCATTGTTCTTTCTCCTCTACATAAGAGAGTTCTGACACCCAACGAAGGTTTTCCTGACGCTGCATGCTGATATTCTGCTGTCTTGTCTTAGCTAAAGGACGGTAATTTCCATCTGCTGAAAAAGGGCGATTGTTCTTCCACCTAACACAGATTTAAAGAGCTAGGTGATCAAATGTAATTACTTGGTTTTTAAAATCTGGCACTAAATCCTGATACCACGGTTCATAGCCAACATTTTCTTAAGATCAAAGTTTAAGTTCAAAGGACTTCAAAAGTATGGAAATGAGGGGGAGGTGGTGAGGAAAAGGGAATTCTAGATTTCTAGCCTTGTGAATTATCATTTTTTTCTACTCTTTTTTAATGTCTTACACAGACAAATCCATGTAATTCTATATTCTACAAAATGAAAATTTTTTTTATATCACAAGCATTTTTCCATTCTTCATGCTTTAAACTTAGCCACATGAAATTCCATCAAGTGGAGCTACCTAACCATCTCCCACTCATGAAACATTTTTCACCGTTAGAAATAACAATGTAACGAATATTACGTTGCTAGGTCTTTTTCAGTATCTATGACTTTCAGTTTTGCTTAACTCCCCAAAAAAGAAGCCAAGATCAAAGCTTATGAATCTTGATCCAGTCTAGTTGGGATCTATCTTGACAAAACTCTATGATACAATAAAAAATGTATTTGGTCTTTGTCCCAAATTCCCAGCATAGAGCTCCCAAAACTCCTGGCATCTCCTGAGAGCTAGAAGTTTCTTTTGTTATTCACAATGGACCCCCTTGAACCACAGCTAAGTTTATGCTAATGACTCTTGGAGGCCCTAGATAGCTTCATGGACAGGGACTGGTCACTAAAAAAACCAACCAAGTGTTTAGAGGGTTGGAACTTTCAGCCCCACTGCCAACTTCAAGAGGAGGAGGGGCTGGAGTGAGTTTAATGTCAATGGCCAATGATTTAATCAGTTGTGCCTAGGGAATGAAACTTCCACAAAAACTCCTTATCAAGCTGGTTAGGAGAGCTTCTGGGTTGGTGAACACATTGAAATGCTGGGAGGATGGCGCACTCCGAGAGAACATGAAAGCTCTGTGCCCCTTCCCCCACCCATCCCTTGTCCTATGCATCTCTTCCATTTGGCTGTTGCTGAGTTGCATCCTTTATAACAGGCAGTGTTCATGAGTTGTTCCAACAAATTATAAAACCTGAGGAGGGCTTGTGGGAACCCCCACATTTTTAGCAAAGCCAAACAGAAGTGTGAGTACATGGAGACTTGGACTTGCAACTGACATCTGAAGTGAGGGCAATTTTATGCACTGAGCCCTTCACTTGTGGCATCTGCCCTAATTCCAAGTAGTGTCAGAACTGAATTAAATTATGACACCCAGTTGGTTCAAAGCATCAGAGAAGTGCTTAGTGTCACAAAGACCTGAGACTTCAGGAATCAAACAAAAAGTTGGAACAGTGAAACTAACCTATTCTTAGTTTCTTTTACGTTGTAACAGTTATGATTTGCACTGTTAGGAGGATACACAGAAAAGTTATCATTGGAACTGGCATCTTGGTCTTCTTCTTCCTCCTCTTCATCCGTCCGAACAACTCCTTCAGAAAGATAACCATCTTCATCTCCTTCTTCATCCAGTGCACACTGAGTAGAACCGCCCCAAGTTGCCATTGTTCTAGAGATTAAGAGATAAAAAATAAGAGATCATTTTGGCGATTGGCTAAATACTTTACCAACTACTGTGCCAGACACTGTATCATGTACATATGTATGCATGTGAAACGTTTTGTTTATAAAATTTCACTGAATAAAAGTACCAATATAGATGGGTGGTACTCTCTCCACTGCTGATATATGAAATAGTTTATTCTGCCTTCCACAAAACAATTCTTCAAATAAAAAATTGTATCCCCTAGAAGTTTTTCCCTAAACTAAACCCCCTCAATTTTTAACTTTACCTTGAGCGACAGTTTTCTAGAGCAGAGCTGTCCAAAAGAACTTTCTGCAATAGTAGTAATGATCTGTACGCATGCATCCAATCAGTAACCACTAGGTACACATGGCTAATGAGCACTTAGAATGTGGCTGGTGTGACTGAGAAAATGAGTTATTAATTTTATTTAATTTAAATAGGTACAGGTAGGTAATGTAATGGCTGCCATATTGGAAAGCATAATTCTAGAGCCATGGTTCCCAAACCTAGATGCTTATTACCAAAAATATCCAAAGAACTTTTCCAAAATTCAGATGTGTGGTACTCCAAACAGAAAAAAAAATACTACAGATATAAATTTGGTAAATAAAGTACATTTGGGACTTCAAAACAGAACAAGTTCTTCTATGAGGAATAGAAGTTTGGTGCAATGTTCCAGGAATGCCATCTGAGGATATCAAAAGGTAAGGTCACAACAAATCTGAATTTCAAGATGTTAGCTCTGAAAACTCCCATACAGATAATTAAGCAACCTTACAGATGGCCAATTTTTTGGAAATATTCTAAATACAGAAATTTCAAATGTAAATGCTAAAAACTAAATGTTTTAAAGCAATTACTTTATCTTTTAATTATTTTTTTATTTTTTTATTTTTGAGAGAGCACAAACATGCAAGGAAGGTGTGGGAGTGGGAAGAGCAAAGGGAGAGGGACAGAGAGAATCTTAGGCAGACTCCATGCTCAGTGTGGAGCCCAATGCGGGGCTCAATTTCACAACCCTGAGATCACGACCTGAGCTGAAATCAAGAATTGGATGTTTAACCAACTGAGCTAACCAGGCAGCCCAAAAGTGAATTTCCTAATCCTTAGGGAATTTACAAATATGAGATTCCTCATTTAAGTAAAAATGTCCTTATTTTTGGCCTGATAGGGAAGTACTACAAAGTAACTTTTTTATAAAACTTAACTAAGAACATAAGGCTTTTATACACTCAAAGAAAATCTGTATCACCATCTGATCAAGTACCTTGAGAAGTCAGAACAGAAAATAGCTGGATTTAGTTAAATTGAACCGCAAAGGTGATGCCTGAACAGTAGCCTCAGTGAAAGAGCAGATTTGAGCTAAGAGGGGAAATGAAGCTGCCCACCCTACATGCCTTTAGTAGGTGATGTTAAAAAAAAAAAAAAAAGATTTAAACACCTCTCTTACTTTTCTGTTCTACTCTGCTGAGGTGTACACAGGTTCTCAGATCCATCACTTCTCAATGACACAGCCATAGGAGATGTAGCTTCGGCTAGACCTTGCCTCCTCTGATGTTCCGCCATGAGCGCTTCAAGCTGCTTTCGCCTCTGTCGTAGCTCTTCCCTTAACATCTCATGTCTTCGCATTTCTGACCACAGCTATTATTTTAAATGTCAGAGTTGACTTAGTAAAAATATATGGATTTGTTTTAGCCTTAAAGAATAAAATACAAAGACTTCTATTCTCACTCTATTCTTTTTACACTAAGATATCCCATGGTTAAAACAGTATTTTCACAGTAAGAAAAAATTAGGCATGAATTTTTTAATGAAAGTAGTGGCCAAATAAACTTCATCAACTATTTAGAGAAAGGTATAATGTTTTCTACAAATCACATATAAACAAAAGGCCAAAGAACAGATCTTCCTAACTGAAATGATTACTGTTTGCTGCAACTATTCCTTAAATACAATTCTGCCAAATATTTGCTAATAATTTTGAAATTATTTTGAAAAGATCCCAACTTAATAACTTTTTTGAAAAGATTATTTCATCCCAGCTAAAAGACACAAAACATGCTGCATTTAAAAACATGTTTCACAGGTATTCAGTTTTCCTTCTTTAAGATGTGACATAAAACTCGGAACAACAAGTACAACATACAATACCTCGTTATCTACTACTGAAGAATCTTCAGGCTCAAAACCAGATTTGCTTGTACTGGTTTCATTTCCGTTAACAGCTGGGGTTGAAGTAACAGCTGGGATATATTTTTTGGTGGGACAATTACCCGCACTAGTGGCAGACAGCTAAAAAAGTATTAGTAAAAACCATTATAAGGAATTAAAGCAATTACGTTAATTTCATAAAAGCAGTTATTTTACCATTTCTCTGGGGCTCTAGTACCATATTGAATTAGTTATTATCAGACCTCAATTGCCATCATGATCCAAAGAAAGCCTGATTTAAGAAAACAAAGATGAAAACACAGGGTGAAGTGGATGAGTAGCAGCCAAGCCTCAGGAACAACAGACAAAAGGGAGAAAATGCTACTGTGGACAATTTCATATACTCAAACCCAACTCTTGTATCTATTCCTCTGCATATTAGACTAAGGAGAAGGAAAAAGAATTAGATAAAATAGAAAAGGTTAGAAGTCTAGGACAACAAAGAAATGTTACAGAGAATTATCATGGATGTGTTTCCCTTTCTTTGAAAACAAAACCTGTGGAATAAAGCTAACCAAAACATTTTAAGAAAAATCTCAAAAAGAATTGGTGTTAACTTCCTGTATTAACTATACTCCTACTCCTGATTACCTGAAATGTTCAAATATTACTCATTCTTCATTCAGTCTCAAAGAGTACTACTTAATAAGCAAACTCCGAATATTTTAATTCATTTCTTTAGGTAATTCATGATGGTTTAAGGGCTTTATTATGTAATTTTAGGCCAATAAAAGATGGAAATGCAAAGCTGAAATTAGAATATTTTAAGTTTTTTTTTTTTTATTTGACAGACAGAGATCACAAGTAGGCAGAGAGGCAGGCAGTAAGGAGGGGTAGGCAGGCCCCCCGCTGATCAGAGAGCCCGATGCTGGGCTCGATCCCAGGACCCCGGGATCATGAGCCAAGCCAAAGGCAGAGGCCCTAACCTACTGAGCCACCCAGGCGCCCCTGAAATCAGAATATTTTAATTTAATAGTTACGAATACTCATGTTTTGAATCTAAAGTAGCCCAACAAGTGAAAAATAGAAGTAATCAGAGTCAAATCCTATGTGCTGTCTTTCATAGTATAAACTCAAATCCCTAAGCCCTTTCATTAGTTCATTAGTTTTATTAATCATAATACTGATATAAATGTGTCACCTCAGTACTAGAAAAGACAAGGGTACTTTCCAATGACATTAGATTTTAAACATCTTTTTTCATATAAATGTAAAGAAGTAACGTTCCCAGTTACCTGTAAGTCAGGACATGCCTTCTGCAATGCTTGAATTTTCTCTTGAATCTCAATCAGTTTCTTTCTTTCTTCCTGCAATTGTCTGAGTTCTCTCTGTTGCTGCTGTAGTTTAGCCTCATAAAATTTCTCTCTACAATTAAATTGACATTACATTTACAGATTCCCAGATTCCAATAAATCTGATGACAGCATTAAGCATGACCTAACACAGAACCTAGTCAAATAAGTACCTTCTCAATAATAAGCACTAAATTTTTATTTAATGAAGCCCATGAGTTTAACATACCGTGCCTTCTCATTTATTCCGGCATCTTTCTGTGTTTTATTGGCATTTCCTCTAGTGTTATTTGCATTTTGTTTGTTGTCGTCTTCTGCTGGGTAGAAATCATCCAAATTTGAAGTATTGGTAGAGGTAACTCCATGATCTGCTGCATCATCATCCTAAGAAGCATCATTAAATTAAAATAATCTTGAAATCTAAAGACATTATCCAATTCATACCTTAAATACCACTGTTCAATAAAATTTACATAACATAAAAATTAAAGTAATACATTAAGTATATGATTTTTAGAGAATACTGAAGTTCATCCCCTACCAATGACATAAAATGAAGTACTAAAACAACAAAAAAGTACATTTATAATCTGAGCTGCCAATTACCCACTAATGGCTAACATTAAGCTGCCTTTTCTTATCTTGACCAGACACTGAGCTATCAAAGAAAAGCTTCCTAGAGAATACAAAAAAAATTAAAAACATACCATCAGATATGGGAACCCTTGTTACTAGATAATTTTTCTTAGAATTTAACCTTTCAAAAATATTTTATTTATTTGAAAGAGAGAGAGAGCGAAAGAAAACACTTGAGTGGGGGAAGAGTGGAGGGAGAGGGAGAGAATCTCAGGCAGACTCTGCACTGAGCAGTGCCCAACACAGAGCTTGATCTCACAACCCTGAGTTCACAACCTGAGCTGAAACCAAGTCAGATGCTTAACCAACTGAGCCACCCAGGTGTCCCTTAAACTGTAACTTTTATTTTAATGATTTCAAATAATCGATGTCCAGTCCACTGTCACTTGCTTATGATTTTCTATTCTCTCACTTTGGTCTTTAGTTTGCCAAACCAGTGCCAATGGCTCACAGTACAAAAACAAATGAGAGTATCTTACATCTGTAATGACTACTGGAAAAACAACTAAGTTCTTAGCTTCCTAAAGGTAGGTCCACACCTTCTGTTAAAAATCAATACACTTACTAAGGTGGGAGGAGGGAAGGCTGCTGGGATGAACTACTGCATTTTTTAAAAAACATTTAACTCTATATAACTTTATATTTACTTATGATTTCTCTGAGAACCTCAAATGAAATTTTAACTTTTGGCAATATCATTCTAATAAAACCTTAAAGAGTTAGAGCTGACTCAATTACAAAACTGGGTAGGCAATTTTAAATTGGTAGATGGGCGTTATTTGGTATTCTTATTCATCTAAAAACAGGCCTAATTGATTCCTATAAAGGATAAGAAGATAGAAAAGAAACTCAGTTGGGATTCAAGAATAGAGAAGCTGCATTATGAAGCCTTTTCACATAATAAAAAGTGGAAAAATTAAAGTACAAGAAAAAAATGCAAAACAAATCTGCCTAATGTTTCAGAAGGCAGTGAGAAGGTACCTGAACAACTGAATACCAACTCTAACACTAGAAGTAAGTAAGTGACTCAAGAATTACTGTTTTAACAGTCTTTTGAAAAAAAATGAAGCAATATTTACCTGTACCATAGCAACAAGATCTTGTAACTGTCTCAGTTTCTGTTTTGCAGCCATAAGTCTACTGATCTTCTGTTCAAATTCAGCATCTTCTGGAGCCTCATCAACCAGACTGCTCCTGTGACTACTTAAAGAAGCCCCACTGACTCCCTCATCTTCTGCTTCATCCTCTTCTTCCTCATCATCTTCACCTTGTGCACCATGAATCCCCTGTTCTCCTTCTCTATTATAGTGACAATCTGCTAAAAGCATGTATGAAATCAGTAATTTAATAAACTTAAGAAGAATACTAATGAAAGAAAATCCATTTCAAAAAAATATGGCAAAATTATACATCAATAGTCAATCATACCTAAAGATGGAGGCATGTTCAGAGCCCTTATGTTGGCAGCAGATCTGTTGTTAATTTCACAATTAGAATTAACTGATCTCCCCTCTCTATTATTAGAAACACACTGTGCATTAGAATTACTATTTACTTCGTTCCAAGTTGCAGCTACTTGTGGATTTCTAAAAGAAAGAAAACAGCCTGAATTTATTTAAAGTAAAAAAAGAAAAAAAAAACCTAAGAATTAAAAATAAAATCAAAGTTTTTATAGCTGCTGATAAAATAATTCCAAACTATGAACATCACCGGCTATTTCTCTATTTAAATTCATACGGTGAATAATTGACTCTTGCTTTTCAAAAACTTCTATTTGGAAATTTAAGATAAACATCCAAAAAAATCCAAGTTATATCTAAAAATAAAAAGGCAGGAAAATGTTAAGTTAGATACTTCTTATGATTTACTTGCATTTTATCTAACAAAGAGCAAATTTACTAAACTACTGTACTCAGTGCTTCTCCATTTGTTTTTCTTTACAGGCCAACTTACGTTTACACTGGCCAAAATAGCAGACTTAAGCAGACTTATGGGAGAAAAGCTTAAATAAAAAGCAAGTGGCATTCTATTGAGGTTTTCCTGTTCCATAATAGAAGCATTCAATTAGGAGGAACATGTTAGAAAAACAAACTTCAAATTCTTACCGAATGTTAGTAACAGGTTCAGAGTTTTCATGTTCAGAATCATAATCTGACTCTTCAGTTTCTTCATCTTTTGTGTTTTCATTAACAGCATCTGTCATCATATCTGATGTTTGTTCATAATAATGGACTAATTCTCTTAGTTCATTCAATCTCTTTCGAACTTCATTTAACTTCCTGATAAACAACAAAGATGCATACATAATACTCATTTCAGCAAAATAAAGCATGCAGTATTTCCATATAAAAGCAGCCAGCAAAGACAACATTCAGACCTAGTGCAAAATCCAGCAGTTGTGACTAAAAAGCAATGAATTCAATTTCAAGAATAGCTTACTCAATATCTCATCATCCAATTTTCTTGTATCCTTCCTACTACAGACAAAAAGTATTAAAAAAAAAAGTTTCATGTGTTCATTTGAAGCCAACTTGGTTTCTTAATAGTGAAGTACTAAATATTCAATTTAAACACTACCTCTCAGGCAAATCAGTGATGCAGACATTATTAGGCATTTACAGAAGGTTCCTGATCTGTAACACACAGAGATCTATAAAGTATATAATACACTTACCCAAAACATTAAGTTTGTTCAGTTTCTATTAAGTGACAGAAATTATGCCAATGTTTTTTAATCTGTAAAATATCTTTATGAACAGGTATATCATTATCCCTATTTTGCAGGTGAAGAAACAAAGGTAAAGTGAGAATAAGTTATTTGTCCATGGTCACACAGCCTTGTGAGATACAGTTTCCAGGCTTTGTGACTCTAGGGCCTGGGCTCTGAATTTAGAATCATTTGAATATAAAAATCTTCTAATGCAATCCCAGCTATTTCTAATCCTTTAGCTGGAAAATGAGAATGCATTAGCTTACAAAAGTCACCTGTATTATAATGTCACATTTCTCTTGGACAACTCAAAGAAGGCAGATATAACACACATATACTTCTTCTGCACATACACTTCTAATAAACATATTCTTAGAAGAATACAGTATGATATGTTACATGATATGATAAAGATATTTATCATATTATGTAAATTCAGTTTTTCCAGAATTTTCAACAAAGGAAAAAAAAAAACTTAATTTATCCCCATTATTCAATTCTATTCTATGTAAGCAATGTTTGTAAAAATATTTTACTGGAGTTTTTCAGTTGGATTCAGATGTCCTTCATTTTCACTCTCATTCTGAGAAACTAGAGAAGCAGCAGGATAAGGAACAGATGACGTGAAGCTATTGGATTCTCCATTGACAACTGGTGCTAAGCCTAAAGGCGCAGAGGGAGCTGAAGGTGTATTTCTCTGATCCACAGTTCTTTGTGGAGAGGATGAAGAAGGCACAACTACAAAACAAAACAAAGACAGCTACTATAAATAAACAAATATGGCCTCAAACAACACTTACTCAGTTTGCTTACATAAAAATAAAAAGTAAAAATCAGTAACGTCTTAAATTCTGCAGCTTTAAATTTCAGAAACTTATGTATCCAATAGCCAGGCTGCTTATTCAACAAACAGACTTAAAACAGACAAAAATAAGGAAAAACAAGGCTGAAATTGACAAGAACTATTATATTCTATCTTAAAAAGTAACCAGTATATTTCTCTGATAAACCCAATTCTAGGTTAAGTTAAACAGGGCAAAATATGGGGCACCTGGGTGGCTCAGTTGGTTAAGTTGTTAACTTTGCTAACTCATGTCATGATCCCAGGATCCTGTCATCAAGCCCCACATTGGTTTCCCTGCTCACTGGGGAGTCTCCTTCTCCCTCTCCCCCTACCTGCTGCTCCCCCTGCTTGTGCTCTGTCAAATAAATAAATAAAATCTTTAAAAAACAAAAACAAAACAAAAACTCAGGGCGAATGTGTATCATGTTCAGTACACCATCAACAAGGCTTTACAACCGTAGGGGATTAAGCCCCAAAGAATGTTTCAAATCCACAGCTCAGAATAATTTTATCTGGTCTCCCAGATGGAATTTTCCTTGTTCCAAAAGATATAAAACAAACTTAAAGTGACCATGAAATATTTCATACCATGAAATATAACTCAACAATAAAATTTTCTAATTAGATGATGGCTTATCTTCTATAGTCTTAAACTGTATGTTAACTACTTTTCTGTCCACACGGATCAGACAAAGATACCTTATGCCTTCAAGGGCAATGAATAAAGATTAAGAATCTTTGCTCTCCTCCATCTCCATCACTTTAAAACTAAAGTCATTTATCTCTTTCTCACAGGGACAACCATCATTATTTGTTGTTCACATTATGAATTGCTACAACTGGTTTCCAGCAGTCTTTGCTCTCTTCCTTGACTGTTCTACCTTTTGGTGCTGCTTTCACACTATTTCCCAGTATGAAAAAAATCTTTTCTTAGAGTCATCAGTAGGCAGAGTGCTACTTTATCATGTATATAAAACTGACCATGGGTCAGTACCACTCTCGAATTTTAAGTTTTCCTTAGCTGTGTCATCTGTGTAAAATAAGCATGATGGGGGGAGCATCTGGGTGGCTCAGTTGGTTAAGCTTTTGCCTTCAGCTCAGGTCATGACACCAGGGTCCTGGTATCGAGCCCCGCATTGGGCTCCCTGCTCAGTGGGTAGCCTGCTTCTCTTTCTTCCTCTTCCCCCTGCTTGTGTTCTCACTCGCTTTCTAATAAGTAAATAAAATCTTACAAAAAAAAAATTAGCATTGGGACTAGATTACACTCTAGAGAGACTAACAGAGGTCTTGGGAAAAGAAAGGAGAATGTTTCAGTAGGAAATATTAAGGTTCATTGGGGGGACAGCAGAGAAAAAGAGATGGGTAAAGAATAAGGAATAGGGACTCCAGAGATGTTTTTTCTATCCCTTGTCTTTTCTTTAATAAGACAACAGCTGGGATGTTAAAAAATTATGACCAGCTGGGGTTGACCTTACTGATCAGTTTTCCATGCTAGAGCTCCTACTACAAGAGGCAAGGACCAGGCTTGAGAAGGTGTGAAGACAGCAAATGAGGACCAATAACTGGATCTCAATGAGACAGAAGCAATAAAACATCTGTGCTGCAGAAAAGGTGGTTCCTAAAGTGTAACTAGTATGACTATGCTTTTCCTATACCACCTAAAATGACAATTCATTTCAAAAAAGTTATAAACTTTTCAGTTTATATAGTCTACAAGTTATAAACGGTACAAGTTACAAATTTTTTGCACTAAGCCATATGTACTGTATGTCTTTCGTGTCTTTTTTTCAAATAAATACTTTCTAAATCTGTTTGATAGTTTTTCTTAAATCAAAGTATAAATTTGGATTAGTTTTCTTTTTAAGGGAAAATCTGAATATGCTAAAAAAAAATCCAGTAATGTGTGTTGAAGTACCTAATAGTTTACCTTATCTTTTTCTTTCCCCTGAATTAAAATCCAACCAATTTTTCGAGTCCCAAGTTTATTCTTTCCCTTTACCAAATTATAGATCTCCCATCTATTTGGTTATCAACATATATTGCCTTGTAAGTCCTATTTCCCCTCAAATATTATAATTTTCCTCAGGGACTATGAGTTCATTCATTCACCAGATATTTACTAAGTTAAATTAACTATTGCATGCCAGCACATATACTCATGTGTCCCCTATCTAATATTGCTGAGCCAGCTTTACTTACACGATGAATTGTTCAGATGTTGATCTCGAAGTGTATGAAGTTCTCCAAGCAGTTTGTCCATTTTTTGTTTCTTTTCCTGTAATACTCTCATTTTGCTAAAAAGCTGTACTTTCTCATCAGGTAAGTGTTCTGAAACTGAAGGATTCCGGCTCTGAGAAACCTCCCTAGTTAATGAAAGACTTTCTGCTTGTCTTCTATTGTCGGGAACAGTTGGAGGCTTATTTAAAATAAAAAAAAAAGAAGACGACCAAGGCAATGAAAGATCTGATTCTCATTTTAAAGACACATAAATATTCCTTATAAAAAGCAATAAATATTTGCCTAGGTTGTGCTGGTGGGTAAGCATATGCCTTTCCAATTCCCAAATGACCTATTTCCTGATGTGCCATTATAACATCTATATGGTTTTATGGACACACATTACTATACAGTGGTCTAGAATTCACTGGACTGAATTACTATCCGGATCTAAATTAAGGGGTAAAAATGTCATACCTTATATAAACTTTCAAATATATCATTATCTCTCTTGCCATCTTTTTAGAATCATCATCATTAACTTCTTAATCAGTTTTTCCTACCATTTCTTTCCTATGATTCTCTATTAAAAATTTTTTTCAAAAATCCACTACGGCTTAGGAAATCATAAAATGAATAAACACCACTGAGCTTAAACCTTAACATTCCGCCGTATTTGCATCAATTCCTTTTTTTTTTTTTAAAGAGAAATTAACAGTACAGATCTAACTAAAGCTCTCTCTATACATACCAAACCCCCAATCTCATTACTCTCTCCAGAGATAAACACAATCTGGAATTAAGTGTCTACCAGCACGTATATTCCCATTATTATTGTACCTACATAAGATATACATCCTTCATGAATTTTTAAACATCAACCAAGTAGTATCCTTCTTAAACTCATGTTTTTCATTTATTATAACTCTGGCTCATTTACTCTGACTATAAGATTTCGCTCTATGCATGTATCATAGTTTATTAATCCATTTTCTTGTTTATGGACATTTAGATTACTTCTAAATTTTTGCTACTGACCAAACCTGCCACAAAAATTCTTATATATATATATATATATATATATATATATATATATATATATCTCCTCGCGAACATGTAAAGAATTTCTCTGAGACGGGACATTTGCTGGGTCACCACAAAAAAGTGCTAGATATTGCTAAGTTAATTCTACAACATGGTAGACAATATTCATTTATTTTTACCTGGTCCGCAGACAGAAGACATTGACTCTTCATACTAATTTCCAGTGAAGAGGTTAGTATTTCACCCTTTCTTATTCAAGGCCCATAGATTGAAATTTTGCATTTAAATCATTACTTACAAAGGTTATCAAACTGTAACACTTATTAACTCTGAAATTAAAATTAAGAACTTTCTCCAAAATTGTCAGTAAACTACTTACGGACACGGATTCAAATATAACTTAAGCTTTAGAGGTTATGACCATGACCATAAAGAATCTTTGAGAGGAAAAAAGAGCATATTATCTACTAGCATACAAGGAGAAAGTTTCAATTATCACTGCATTCAACGCAGATTTTCCTCTAATTAAGTGTTTCTCCAAGAATAGTCCCCAGACTACCAGCAGCATAATCATATATGTATGATGTACGCATCATACATACTTTGGGAGTGAGGGGATCCCAATGATCCCAATGACACCCCCCCCTTTTTTTTAAACAAAATGCCAGGTGATATTTATGCTACAGTAAAGTTTGGGAACAACTGGCTTAGTTAATATGATTTTAAACTCAACTATACTAAAAAAATTAAATTACCTGAGAATCACGAAGCTGATTATGAAAACGCTGAATTAAATCATTCAATTCTTCATTTAGTTCAGAGGTGATACTAACTCCAGATAGGCTACCTGTAGTTTCTGTTACAACTGGAAAGAAAATTAATAACTATTCATTAGAGCAAACAAATCAATACACTTTTCAATTTCTGAGAAGCTAAAAATAAACTTGGGGGGTGTTAAAAAAATCTTACCTAACATAATTTAAAACTAGTTAATCCTCAGATTTACCTCCCAATCATTTTAATAGAAATGTCTAACTAACCTGAAAACAAAGGGACAGAAGACTCTAGTACAGTGATTCATCTTTTTCTGTCCCATCATTTGAGGGGGGACACTGCTACACTCCAATTAAGAATAATGACGCAATGGAGCAGGGAGAGGACAGGCCTATCAGGCTGGGTTGGGGGAGTGGCAAGGAAAGTGGTTAATCTGAAAAAGCACAGTGATACTGACAGGTCTCAATCCCTACCTTCCCCCAATAGAATCAATGCTCTAATACAGGGATTGGTAAATTGTTTATAAAGATTCAGAGAGTACATTAGTCAGGCTTTGTGGAAATAGTTTTTGTATCAACCACTCAACTCTGTCATTGCAGGAAAAAAGCAACCACAAATGATACATTAACAAACAGGCATAGATATGTTCCATAAAACTTTATTTTACGCAGTGGGCCAAATCCAGCTGGCCACAGTTTGCCAGCTGGATTTGTTCTACCCTGTCAGTAGAACAGATTATTTACTAAAGTAGTTGCCTGTGATAAAAGCATACTACAAGACCATCACTTTTATCTTCCTATGGCAGTATTCCTGAGGCAGTATTCCGAAGATAATTCTGACAACGGGTCACTGCTCTACTATCCAACCACCCCAATGCTTATCCTTTCCAGCTCTAAAAGAGACACTAGCTATAAACTGCTTCTGTTTTAAGGAAAAATACTACCTTTTTCAAAGAGAAATTAGAATTTCAGGGCTAAACAGAATCCCAAGTATCCGTGCAAACCCCATTTTGAAAAGAAAGAAATTACAGTGCAGATTACCAACATGTAATGCCAGCTCAGTAAAGTACAACTCTTTCCCATGACTATTATTTTGCCTCACTTACATAGCAGAAGATTAAATATCAGTCTGGTTTTTCATCAGAAATCTCATAAATACAAGAGAAAATGCTTTAAAATTACTAACCTAAAATTCTTTTTAAAGTCATATAAAAAATAAATTTAATCTTAAACCTTTGCTCATTCTACTCCTGGTGTCTGCCTCTTCATAGTATACTTTAAAGAAAAATAAAAAAGTTCATATTCAGGAAAAGACCTCTGACCTAGAATTCAAGAAATCTGATTTTTACTAATACATCATGTAAGTATTGGCAAGTCACAAATTCTATGTTTGAGCTCCTCCCTCCCACATGAGATTAAAAGAAAAAGCTCTGGTGACTAACCTACAATTTTGTGATAATCAAATGAGATGATGTAAACATTAAGTACCTGAAATATCATCACCACCACAGGCAAATCTCTGAAATCTAGAACTTGAAAAATACTTAAAATACTTAAGTCATTAGCCATTAACTAGTATGTCATTGTTTAAATATTTTGTTTTATTCCAAATTATCTATTTCCTAAATATAAATGTAAAAGCTAATAAATACTGGACTTTACAAGGGAAAAATGTGTTGAAAATGTATCTAATTATTACTATATATATTATATATATAAAATATACAATTATATAATTATTACAAAAGAGTAAGTTACTTGCAGGTAACACAGTTCCATATGAAAACACAAAATTAAATTATGTATAACAGTGATCAGAGGGCTAAGCCACTTAGCTAGGTGTGGACAGCAGCATAAATTCAGTAATAACAAGGTAACCTCAGTGAGGACCTAAAATAGCCCACAGGAAATAAATTATCAGTAGACTAGGATAACAGACTAGGAAATATACCTTAGTTTTTACTGAGTTTTACTAGGTAACAAGTTGTTTTCAGCTTAATGAGAAATTAAACAGGTTTTGACAGGTTTGAAGATGTTGAAACTATAAAATTAGACTCCATACTAAAGAATTCAGTATAATTTCCACCTAAATAATACATGGCGAAGAAGGAAGAAGGAAAAATGAAAAAAACGTTTCTGAGTCTCAGGAAGACTATATACAGAATATAAATATAGTTCAAAGGAACTAGTATATACAACTGGGCACCTAACTGAAATAAAAGAGCTACTACCAACATGAGAAGCTAAAGGAGCTCTACAAATTCATGTATTTTCTCCCTTAAGGTTTTGACCTTTCCTTGGTAGGCGAGAAAAGTATGGCAATCCCAGGTAAATAAAAGTGGGGGAAAAAAAACCATGAAGAGCCCTATCAGTGTGAGGTACAAAAACAGAACTACAGCCTGTTCCTTTTACCTCTTAAGGGTACTCTCTGATGAAAAGGAGAGCGAGCTGGCTGGCTGCCCGGTACAGAATGTTGGCCAGGAGTTGTCCCTGCAATCTTTTCTGCATAACCAGAGAAAAGCACAGGATAGGGTAAGCCTCATAGGTAGGTTTCTAAACTAGTCAACAATCAAGATCTGATCATATAATAACCAGTATCCACCTTGCAATACCACTATCAATTGAGCCTTACTTATAACAACATGCTACACTGTCGTATTACCAGAATCATCCATCACAGCAATAGCTTGCTCTGCTTTGTGCTGCAGAGCAAGAAGCGCAGCCTGTCGTCCCTGCAGAGCTCTCAGCTGCTCCTGTTGTTGTAACATCCTTTTTAATAAGTCATGCTGTTTCTTCAAATTTTCTATCTCTTCCATAGGCTCCTGCTGAGGATCTCTGGCCTGGAAAATAAAACCAACAATACTTATATATGATTATTAAAATTCATGTTCCTGTTTCAACTACCAATGGTACAGTACAGACACAGATGATAAATTAGTATTAAAAACACAATGGTAAGTAGTTTCAGTAGACTTGAAGAAAAAAAGAATAAGAATAAAATGATGATACAGAGATAGCCCGCCATGTTGAGTTAGGTAGTTAGGTAATTCACAGTAAAAGATCATAATCAATGGCTTAGCATGAAGAGGCATTAACAAAGAAAAAAAAAAGCATACAAAACAGGTCAAAAGGTCAAAAAGAGCTACACACACACCCCCAAACACAAACGAAGGATCCAGACCTTATCAAAAAGGAAGAACAGATCATACCAGGTTAATGTCCTAAAAATATCCTTGAAGATCAGACTAAAAGACATTCTGCCCCACTTCTAGAAGTGATGTTAAAAAACACTAATAAAACAAAAACAAACCCACTATTTTCTAACCAAGGACAAAAATTATAGAAACACTCTTATTTAATAATTTGATGTAAGCGGCTTTCATTTACTTACATCTCATTTCATAAGCATACAATAAAGGAGAAAACTTTATATTTTGTATTGAAGATAGCAATATTATGTTTTCTTTTGAATTATGCTTACTTAGCTATATCTGAGAAATTAAATACTCAGAAATTCCCTCCAAAAGCTATCATTTTATCTAAAAGTAGAGGAACTAGATTAAATAGATGTGACTTTAAAAAATTATAAAATGTTAAGTATTAATCTTAAAACCAGTGAAATTTAACCCAACAAGAAAAAAATAAAAGTCAATCAAGCAAAGAAACTAATTTAAATATAACTGGGGAAAAATAAAGTATAAGCCAAATTACATAAGAAATGTATATATACCATACTGGAATTTTTCCTCAATAATTTACCTTTTTAAAAACCTTCTATTTTGGAAGTTTAAAGATTTTACCAAATATTTACACAGAATATTCCTATTAAGTTAGAAACATTTAGTCAATTTTAAACTTGCATTGCTACCAAAATTTGGTTGGGGTTATGCATATTTTAAGTGAATAATCCCAACTGCCAAAGTTATTAAGGAGAATAAAGAAGTTCAATAATTTCAATAATTTCATTTCAATGTAAAAATGCACTGATCTACTTTATGTATGTACATGTGATTCCTGGAGAAATTATGGAAACACAGATGGCTCCAGAGATTCCCTCCTGGGTGACATCCTTTCTCGATACTCTGCAAAAATCCCTTCTCTTTACCTTCCCAAGTGAGTAAGTATACGGCTCTAAATTAAATACTGGAAGAAAGTAAGGTCAAATAAGGAAGTAGAAAGACTGTGGTAGGAATATCTGATGTACAAATCAGAGAACTCAGTCAGTGCTGCCTCTACCCTGTACTGACTGACTAGATTTCATGAACGTGGAAGAGAAGCAACTATCTTGGTCATATCAGTACTTACTAAAGATTTTCTGTTGTCTCAAAATTCCAAAAAACTAAAGCCTTTTTCAAATTAACTACTGTGTACTCAGTTTTCTCCTCACCTATAGAAGTGGAGTTAAATTGCTAACACTAACATTCATTCCTGTCAGAATTCATTTTCTTAGTTCTGGCTTATTTCTATTTATAATCCTCCCACCTCTCAAAAATACGTAGTTCAACCTTCAATGAAACCTTAAAGATCTCTAATTTTAAATAGTTGACTAACTAACATTCTGGGTTTTTACCCTTTAAGAAGCAAACTTTTAAAAAGAACTTTAATCCTTGTTAGTCACATTTTCTTTTAGATTGTATTTGCTTATTTGAAAGGGAGAGAAAGATAGCAATGGGGAGGAGGGGGGACGGGGCACAGGGAGAGGGAGAAGTAGGCTCCCCGCTAAGCGGGGCAGGGGAACGGGCATGCAGCAGGAGCCTGGATCCCAGGATCATGACCTGAGCAGAAGGCAGGAAGGCAGAGGCTTTACCAAATGAGCCACCCAGGTGCCAGTTGTTACATTTATTTGCAAAACTCTGATACTCAAATTATAAAGAATTCTGAACTATTTATTAAAGGAAACACAATTACCTCCAGATTTTTCACTAATCCAAAAATGAATTCCCAACAATTTTGAAATTAGGAGAGTTTATTACTACTTAATAACTTTTGCATCCATATAATTAACATTTCAAACTAATAATCAGAAAATCTGAGCTGAGGGAGGCAAGAAGGGATTACAAATCTTAAAAAAGGGAAAATGAGAAACTGGAAATAAAAATACCTAGGGATTAGAACATGTCAAGCGGACAGTGCACAGAACAGGAATCCAAAAAAGAAGCGAAGAACATATTCACCTTTCAAACACTATTTTCACTTAAACTTTTTGAGTCACCTACCTCAAGTACATTTTTAGTTTACAGATAAAAAATTTAACTTAGACATGAACTCCTAAGCTACATACAATTTCAGAATTGAAATTTCAATTTCAGAAAACTCTTCCTTTTCTGTAGTCAAATGAGGTTCCTCCAATAATTTTTCATGGATCCAAATTTATTTTTTTGGCTGAAAAGTACTTCAGATAATATGTACTCCATTTTTTTCATGTGAAAGGTGAGAAACGGTAAGTCCAGAGAAGATAAAGCTATGATTTATCCAGTATCACAGGGCAAGTCAGGTTCCTAAGTTCTAGGTTGGTGTTTTCCACACCATACTGCCTGCCTCAAAATTATGTGCTCAGGTAGTATTAAATACAAAAGTCTGAGACACCACGTCTGAGAAACATAGTCTGGTTTGGGAGACAAACTTAGCCCACATGAAATAACTAGAAATGATGGAAATAATATCAAAAAAAGAGTAGATAATATTTTTAAAAGCTTAATAAATTCTCTAAAAGCTGTTAGTGAATGTGCAGGAAAGAGGAGTATGAGAAAATAATCAGGGCACGGGTACTTGTGGAAGGCTTCTTTTTAAAAAGTATGCAAAGTGTCATCATGTCTATAAAATATTCCAGAAAATGGACTCTGTCCTAATAAGCAGCTGGAGAGTATCAACCATTTCCTATCAAGCTACAACTCAGAAGGCTATTTTAAGCTCTAAATCAGAACTTTTTTCCTACTGTCCTAAAAGAACATGACGTCTTGAAAAGATGGTAAGTAGGGAATGAAGATGAGGTAGGGAGAATACAATTCTGCACAGCAGAGGAAAAATAAAGTCAGTTGGTGAGAATGAGGAGTTTTTTCTAATAAAATAATACTACGAATAGAGTACTGACAGAACTACTACCCTAGGATGGCCCTAAGAATCAAAAGATTAAAGAGAATCAATTGGAAAAAACTCCAAGAATGAAGTTCAATAGACAGTAATATTCACACATACAGCTATTTTTCAAGGAAACTAAAAAACAGAAAAATGGTTTTTAAAAGTAAATATATCAGCTTCGGAAAAAAAAGAAACACTGGCAGATTTTCCTGTTTGTCACTGTTCAGAAAACTTAAAGAGAACAGTAAGTTCCAAAGGATATTTATTGAGTCTCACACTTTCTCTTCTCTAATGTTACTAGTTTTAAAAATAATCAGCTACTCAATTTACTCTTCTGTTGTTTTGGGCACCTTTTGCTTAATATTTCATAGTAAGATCATCTTAGCTGATTTCAAACTGTATCCTTAAATTCTTGTGGGAGCCAGGAAAAACAAAACAAAGCAAAACAAAACCAAAACCTGCCAAAATATTTAGAGGTTTTGTCATTTTTAAATAGCCAAAAAAAAAAAAGTGCATAACAAAATAAAGACCACCCCTAGTTAGTATAAGCTACTAATAAAACATAAGAAATTAGTCTAATCTCTACTTATTAAAATAGGATTTTTTTTCTTGCCAATAGGAATGGGTACTTTCTTACAAACGCTTTTACTGAAACTTATTTTAAGTGTAACCACACAAAGAGCTGTCTTTAAACCTTTCCTGAGTGCCTTTATGGAAATCATGAAAAATTTAGAGCAAACAGTGGAGGAAAAAAAACCAGGAGAAACATTACCAACAAGTCAACTTTCTTGCTTTAGTTTTTTCTTTAAAAAAAAAAAAAAAATGGAAGGGGTTTTCAAAAAAAGAAAATATAAACCACAAGAGAGAAAAAAGGGGAAAAAAGCACTATAAAAATACATCATTCTTAGAAAGACAGGAAAGCTAACAGCTTACTCCATTTTCTTTTTCTTTAATGAATGACTGCAAGAATTAAGACAAAACTTAAAAGCACCATGTTCATCCATGAATACAAATATCAAGAAAAAAAGGGCAACTAATGGTTAAGGTTTAAGAATGTTCTATTTTGAGTTCTCAACAGCAAAAAAGAAAATGGATTAAGTTCTTTGTTAATACAAATTAAATACAGCTACCACATATAATCCATAGGAGAGTATAAGAAAGCAGAGAAGAATAAAAACACTAAAGGACAGAATTTTACTAAGGCAAGTAACAGTATAATTAGCCATGTTAATAGCTTACATACTTAAGAATAACAGCAACAGAAAGGCAAAAAAGGAAGAGGAAATGTGAACAAGAGAGGTGCTCATTTAGAGACTTCCCAAATTAATATTGTGAAATATACCTTTGAGGGAAATCCACGTTTTCGGCTATATTTCCTATTAGGCCTCAGTTCCCTGTCATTCTGAGGAGGTCTGTCACCTTTCCTTTTTGGACTTGTGGTAACATCAATGTCTGAAACCTGTTCTTGTGAAGCTGAATTCCCTAGTTTGTCCTCAATGCATGGCCGAATTCTCAGACTAAAAGATGCCTCCTTTATTAAATAGTGTAGCATATTAATTTCTTAATACAAACTCCTGTTTAATATACAAGCCAGCCTTGTGAATAAATACAAAAAATTTACCAGTCCATCTCTTTAAAAATCAATCCACCCTCCCCCAAGTGGCAATAAACTTAAGACTTTTAAATTTCTGTAGACTAGACTAACGCTTACTATAATCAAGTATCATATCATATCCTAGGCATTTGCCAAACTATACAACTGGAGCACATTCTAACATTTATTCTGCTGTTATTATCAACTTTCATTGTATCATTTTATGTTATGAAAAAAATTCTCATCACAATGAACACTATATATGCTAGTATACAAATCAAAATAATCAACTATACCATTTCCCACCCCTCCCCAACAGAATTCCTTTACCCACATTCCCCAATTCCTCTATTTCTGCTGGAATGAAATGTGAGGAAAAAAATTATTCCCAGCACCACTGTAAACAGAAAAACAATTTCCCCACAACAGAATCTATTTTCAACAGTTGTTTGGATCAAGCCCTGCGAATATCTATCTCCTGGTGAAAATAATGTAGGAAAAAAATTCAAATTTCCTCTTCAAATTAGGAAGGGCAGGGAAGAGAAAGAGGCAGGTAAGAAACTATGCAGGTCAACATTGAATGGAAACAAACCCTCAAATTTCTCATGCTGAATGGTATTTCGGAACATCTCTCAGAAACAAAAGATGGACATACATGGTTATCATTTCATAAGAAAAGCTTTACTGACAACAAATTTTCAAGTTTACTAATGCATGGCTATAGATGCACCTGCTAAAATTAAAATGCTTAAAAGCACACTAGTTCTGAAGCACACTACCTTCTATGAACTAAGTTTATTTTACAAAGTTTTCCTCAAAGTTCTGTGAATTCCTGATTATTCTTCCAAAAGACAGTATTTTGATAAATTTCATTTTGTAGAGTTAGAAATTTTATTTTTATCACCATGATTAAATCACAATGTAAATGATACCCTGTCCCAATTTCATCTTGATGTTTCAGTCATCTGGTTTTGCTACAGTTCAAAGCTAGCCTGAGGTATTAAAAAGTCCTAGCAGCCTTCAAATGAGTCCTCAATAGCAAAAGAACTTGAAGATTTTTCCAAAACACAATATACTTAGTAATGATATTTTGTACTCCTAGCTTTTATACTCATGATGAATTTTAACTTTCCAGTGCTTTGTAAAATGAGAAAAGCTGTGCTTAATGAAACCAACGAAAAACTGTGTTTCTGCAAGCAGATCACAAATCGTATTTTTAAATCAACCATGTAAGTGTTTGCTAGTAAGTAAAACTTTTGTACTCCCGTGTTTTGAAATAATATATACAGCATTAACAATTTGAGGGTTTCTTCCCTGAAACATACTTTTCATTAAGGAATGCCTATAAAAAATATCATCTTGAAAAATGGGGGGAAAGTTTAAATCTTCATTTCCAGCACTTTTAATTACCAAAAAGCCGCTTACCGTGGTATCTGAAGCCTCAGACTGCACATCTATGTTTAGCGATGTGCTCTCAGCTACAGAACCAGATCCCACAGCTGAATCTATAGTCCGAACATCCTCCTCCTCATTTTCTCTAGCCTGAAATATTTTAGTGGTATAAATCATACAACTATTAAAAAGGGCAATAAAATGTTATAATGGATGGCACGATTTTTTGAAAATACATTAACTCCTCTGGGGTGGAATCAGAATGTCATCAGTATATGCACACTAATATACCACAAAAATAAATCAACACATTATTGAAAAGGTCCAAAACTTACAAGGATTTTTTGGAGAAATTTCATATATGACTTTTCTTGTTCTTTAAGGTGATCTATTAGATGAGTAAGGCGCTCAACATTAGCAGATCTTTCATTTTTCTCTACAAGATCTTCCCGCATGGAACTAGCTTTAGTAATATAATCACGAATCTGAACAAGCCTGCTTACAATCTGCATAAAAAAATTTGGAAAAAAAAGCATGAAAATAAACCATATGTAAAACTGTGCATAATGCATTCTATAGTAACACTTCTACATATTTTTTATTTCAAATATAGTAACTAAAGATATGTCTACGTTTATCATTAGAATTCCACATGCAAAAGATCTGAATTAAATTTATAATTTAACCAAAACATAACTGGCAATACTAACAACCCCAATTACTATGAATATAAGAATTTCAATAGTTTCAATTTACATTACCCAAAACATTTTACTTACAGAACTGCATGCCTTTAAACTACTATTTATGCAAATTTTTTCTAATGTTTATATATTATTTCCTTCTAAGTAAAAGTATTAGACTTTTTAAAGTACTTTTCAAAAGAATTATAGAACCATTTAAAAAAATTATTACAACCTACTAATCACAACATTTCAAACTCCTCTTTACTAAAATATTAGCACACAGCCTTTGGCAGGTAAACAGAAGCCTTAATTTACAGTATGCCATTTCTACAATCATTTTGGATAAGAAGAAATTCATACTATATTTAATGAATCGGAGATTAATGAGGTGAGTCTAGAAGTACTTAGCTAAAATTCCTATATGCATAACCCAATAAAACTTTCTTAACCTTAATATTTCTATTTTGAAGCTCATAAAAGCAAAGAACAAAACAAACATTTTTCACCTGGCTGCTTTCCATTGCAGGCTCTCCTCTTCCATCTTCTTCAGAGACTTGACAGTTTTGCAAAAGGTCATTACTTAAAGCAGAGGCGAACAACTCTTTACATTGTGCTGAACCAACCATTTCTCTCTTTGGAGGACTTAGAACAGCATCTTTGCTCTTGTTAGTATTAATCTGCATAGGCAAAAAGTTGAAGGGCTTTCGGTTTTCACTAAGCTGACGTTTGTTGTTAGCAGCTGTTGCTCTACCTTGAGAATCACTTCCAATGCTTCTCTACATATAAAAAAGAAGCCAAATGCCACAAATATTAATTTTTCAATAATTAAAAAAAAATTCCAACATTCTTCATCAGCTTTACCATCAGATATTAAGTCAGGAAGTATACATAAATAGCTCTGTCCGTAAGATTCAAAAATGATTCAAATCTACAAAAAAATCTTCTGCTAAAATATCAAAATTTGATCAACTCGTCCTATTCCTCATTTTGTCTGACATAAATCAACTGATTGAATCTGAGCAAGATCAGTCTAAATGATGTACCAGGACGACAAACCCTATCTATAACTCACATTCCTAATCATACTTGTTCACCGAATTTTGTATGGGCTTTGGATCCAATGAGTAGATCTTAATTAATATAAATATCAGCATTAAGATGTGTCCAGATGAAACCCTGCCTGAAAAGTGCTCAGCTCAGTGTCGGATATATAGTAAATGTTCAGTAATTGTAACTAGATAACTAAATGACATGTGATCACCACCACCACCGTATCAGACTTGAATATACTTTTATGCAAATTTGGTAAACTGTTTATCTCTCTAAAGCACAGATGTGACAATAAAGCATCTGTTAAGAGTTCATTATCATTTCCATTTACTTTTAGTTCCAAATTTTATTTCAGTGATTATAATACCATCCACAGTCTTATTTTAAACTTGAGGTAATCCAGAACACCCCACACTTAGCCAATGATAAATATTCTAAACCGGATCTCCCTTTTGCTTAATAGCAACCTTATTCAGTTACTAACATGTAAAATTTAGTTCCATGACGAAACGATTTATATTAGTCATAGAGTATTAGTAATAAAGCTACAAAAGACCTGACCTTAGCAAGTTTAGAAAGTTTTTGCCCTCCAAAGAACATAATACCACCACCAATTAAAATTCTTTCCATATACACAGAAACTAAGAAAAAGGAAATAAAGAGCTTACTTTTCATTCTTAAAACAACTATTTAATCCATTCTAAGTATTTCCCATAGTTATAACTTGATTTTTTTAAATAATTTCACAAACCTGATCTAAATCACTGAAGTTTATTCGCTGTTTAAGTTTCTCTAATTCTGCCTGCTCTGGAACAGACATCTGAGTCACATATCTACTATGTGGAAACGAATGTGGAGTCTTTGTTCTTCGCCTTCCAACTCCTGGTGACGACTCCGGAGAAATATCATTAGTTACCCTTTTATCACTTTCGACACCAAGCTTTTTCTTATTCTTTTCTGATGATTTATTTGCTTTCTTCTGTTGGCCACCCCAATCCTTTAAAAAAGTAAGGGCAAAAGTTAATCTGGCCTCTATCAAACTAGGAAAGTAATTTGATATGCTTAAAAATTTTTAGTGAGTCTTAAAGTTAAAAATGACAAAACGTCTTTTGCATAAACATACAGCCTTAAAGACAATTACTTACTTCTACTAATGTGTTCCCCCCCAACCATTACATCTAGTCTAAATTTCATAGACAGTCCTTCAGAAAATAGATTACTTTCCTCTCATAGATCTTTAACAAACATAAATGCCAAACTCCAACCCAGAGTCAGTCTGAATATTTTCAAGAGCATTTTAAAAATTGGTTCCCTACTATTTATAAATTGGATAGTGAAATAAATTATAGATACCTTTACTGGCCTCCTTTAAAATCAATGTATGTAAGACAGATCCCGAATCAACCTGGATTCTAAGATAATTATTGTTATCTGAAGAAATGCTCACTGTGTGACCCTAGGCAATTTACTTAACTTCCCACAGTCTCAGTTTCCTAATCTCTAAGATAGTGTCACCTTTAAAACATGATTAAAGATAACATTCATAAAGCATCTGGCACAGTGCCTAACATATAGTAAGCAATAAACATAATTATTCTTACTTTTCACAGGCAGTAATATATTACATAATAAGACCTGACATGAAATGACAAAAATGATTCATGTTTTAATGGGAGAACGTTTTTATTTACTTAGTTATATCCACATAACCTAAGTCATTCAACAAAAAAGGCTATAAATTCCTACCTTATTCAAACTGGAAAAATCATTTAGTTTTACTATAGTAAAACCCTTTGGGATATTTCCTCATTTATAACACGACTCCCTTCTCTACAATCTGTTCCTCCACCCCAATCCTTGTATGGGTCTTCTTGCCAACCTGTTGTTCTAGTTACCCTACCCCTTCCTGGCCACAGCTGATTGGAAAAGAGATGCATATCTAATCCAAACAGGGATAACTGTACTTTAAAATTTCAAATTGGAACTAAAAGATAATTAGTCAGTACATAATTGTAGCGATAACTGAAAACTTTAGAATGAAGGGTCAGCCATAGTACACCACATGAACCAGAGAAGAGAGAAAGCTCGTCTGGGAAAAGAAAGTTGTGTTAAGCAAAGGCACGCAGAAGCAGAGAGTCAGGGCAGTGAAAAAGCAATTCTTGACAATCTGCTAGTTCCTTTTTCCAGTCCCTTCCTAAAACCCACCTATAGTGTTTTGATTTAACTTGTTTTCCATAAAACATCTTTATACACTTACAATAAATCTTTTTGGCTTAAGCTAACTCAGGTTGGTATCTGTTACCTGCAAACAAAAGCATCTTCAACTAACATAACAAACAGCCCAGGGATTTAATGTCTTGGCCAGCAACAAAACCATGTGTTTACAAAGAATCTCAGTGAGTTTGATTTGGCTAAGTCAAGGGAAAGTTTCATTTTATCATTAGTAATTAATGATACACCATCAATAGTAAGTTATCATACCATATTGTTGAGTCGGTCATCAACACCCTCATTGCTCCAGTTTGGTAAATCCTGATCATTCACGCCTTCTTCAAAAGGACCTCCTCCTGTGGCCATCCTGGTTTTACCAATTAATTTTCTGCAAAACAAGTGAAAACATTTTAACACACAAAAACAAACTCTTAATGATTTTTAAATCATTCCATGAAGCTTAGTGACATAAAAGAAATCTCAGAAAAGTTGATTTTATGAAATAAAAAGAGGTAGTGTCAACCACACATTATAGACAAACTGATTCAGCAGCCATACAGATATTACAATAAATAGGAGTTAGGAGCTGGAGTGACGGGAGAGGGAAGGAAAACTTCAAAATATCCACTATGTGTACTGGCCTACATCCTTTCAGTTCACTTTATTTAATTAGTTGAACACAGTCCTAAAAGGTAAAGGAGTGATAGGAAAAAGTTTTTAATGGCTAGAACCAAAACCACTCTTAGGAAAAAAAAACAATATTCCCAAAGACCTGAGAATTTGTTTGGTGTCAAAGTTTCAAAGAGGTTGGAACTGCTCTGGATGCAGAAAAGTTTGGTTTTAACAGGAATGTAGTGTTAAGCAAGGTAGAGAGAAGACAGAGAAAGTGGCAGGCCTAGGTCAGGGAATGGGCAATTAAAGCCAAAAATACAGTGGCCTGAAACATTTAAGAAGAGTGATGCCTATTGCTTTACTTTAAATTATATTGCTGCTACCTCAGAGTTTTCCCTAAATCTCGACTAGTCTACCAAAGTCACAAATTCTCCCTACTAAAATAAAAAACTTGGGATTTTTGTGAATATCCAGGGAAGTACTGAATTTCATACCCAGGTCAAAGAGATGAGTAAAGAAAGAGCAATGGTTCTTTGAAGCAGACGTTCAGAAACAGAGATGATCAACAGAAAATGAGATTTCTACATAACCTTGTGGAGGACTCTGGCTTTCTACAGGGTGTGGAACTACGCAAGCTGGAGAAGGACTGAGTGAAAGAGATGGGCAGATAATTTTATCTAGAATTGAAAGGGCAGAGAAAGCCATTAGACAGGAGGGTTATAATAGGTTCCTGATTTTACAAATAACTCTAACACTCAAAGAAGTCAGATAATTTCTCCAAGGTCACTCAGCTAAAAATGGCAAAAAGGAATACATATCCAAGTTGCTTTGACTGTAAGATCCCAACTTATCCCATTCACTAGAGCAAAAAATTAAAAGCATTATCATCCATGACAAAGTAATCTCACAGATGTTTTAATGCTAGAATATCTACTAGAATAATATATTAATAGATCACAAAGAGGTTAAATTTTATGGTGATAAAATTCAACACTTAATTTGAAAAAAATCTTAGTGGCACCTGGGTGACTAACTCAGTTGGCTATCAGCTTTCGGCTCAGGTTGCAATCCTGGAGTACCAGGATCAAGCCCTGCATCAGGCCTCCTGCTGAGAGAGGGTCTGCTTCTCCCTCTGCCCCTCATCCCACTCATGTTCTCTCTCTCTTTCATTCTCTTGGTCTCTCTCACAAATGAGTAAAATCTTTGAAAAAAAAAAAATAAAGAAAAAATCTTAAAAAGTACAAATACACTGATGGTTCCTTACAGTTATATGTACTATTATACTATTTTTTTTTCAGTGAGCACGTATTACTTTAATAATTTTCGAAGGAGTTGAAAGAAGTATATACTTTAAACCAATAGCCAACAATATTAAAATAAGAAATGAAGGGATGCCTGGGTGGCTCAGGGGCTTAAGCCTCTACCTTCGGCTCAGGTCATGATCCCAGCGTCCTGGGATAGAGTCCCTCAGCAGGGAGCCTGCTTCTCCTTCTGCCTCTGCCTGCCACTCTGTCTGCCTGTGCTCACTCTGACAAATAAATAAAATCTTTAAAAAAATAAAAAATAAAATAAGAAATGAAGGACATCCCTATTAAAGATAAAAACAAAAATGTAACATACCAGTTATTTAGCATTGTTTTTAAAGTCCTGCAAAATGGAAAAACATGAAACATAAATATTAACACTAAGAAGACAAAAGGTGGTATTCTTCAAATATGCATTAAAAAACATACAGAACTTCAAAATATCACCAACAACCACACAGAAAATATACTGGAGAAAAATGATGCCCTTGTAATTGTGACCAAAAAAAGAAAACATCTAGGAATAATGCAAATTTTGCCCTAAATTATGAAGCACCGGTAGACTATAAAACAATGTAAGAGAAAATTTACAAAGTAGAAAAACAAACTATCTTCCCTGATGGAAAGACAAATTTTATAAACACACCATTTTTTTCTAAATATAGACTTAATGAATTCCCAGTGGAGTTCTTCTTAGAATCTGACAAAACAAGTCAGTACAAAAAATTTAAATATATGAAAAATAAAAGCAAAAGTAGCAATAGAGGTTGGGAAAGTAGAAAACTAGTCCCAAGAGATATTCACTCATACTGAGTACCTATATGACTAGATTAGTATAAGCCAATTACCCCTTGCAAAATCCGAAAATACACCCAATTAGAAAAATATAATGAAGAAAATTAACAGCTAACAACTATTTTGTTTACTATATACCAGCACCATGCTAAATATTTTATAAACATTCTATCATTTAATCCTCATAAAAATAACATGATATAGGATGATGTAGGATTATTCACTTGATGGGACAATTTGCTACCAATTTTGAAAAAGATTATTTAGGAATTTAATAGTATTTCTCAACTAGAATCCTTCATCTCAAATACAGAACACAGAAAAATGATCTGAGTAATACTTTTTTTAATTCTCCCAAGAATGGTACATACCCAGTACCATTCCAGACACAGAAGAAGAATTTATTCACAGTAAACAATAGATGCCTTAGAGCTTAATTCTCTCCCAATTGAAAAAGGCCATCTTATACCATAACACCAAGATAGTAAGTAGATTAAAAATAGATCAGGAAGATTAAAAAAAAAAAAATCAAACAGAAAATCAAGAAAACAGGATGGGCTCTAAAAATGAAGATCCTACAAATATGGAATGCAAAAATAAAAGAGAAAAAGTGTAACAGATTGTATTCACATAAAATAAAATCCCAAGTTTATAGAGAATAAATAGTAAATGACAAACCAGGGGGAAAATCTGAAAGAAATATGAAGCATACAGTGAATATCTTTATAAAGAATTAATGGGGAAAAACAAGAAAAATAAAAACACTAAAAATAAAACAATAAAAGTCAGTATAAACAGGTAACTTAAAAAGAAGTCAGTAAACATAAAATGATAAAAATATTAACAATAAAGTTCAGCAGCAAATTAAAATGAGGGACTATTAAATTTGCTGTTATTTCCTAATCCTGATGACAGCAAAAGGAAACTGGAACTCTCAGTCACTATCTTGAGAGCTAAACTTGTATAACCTTTCTAGAAAGCATTTTGGCAATATTGTATCAAGAACTAAAACTGAGTTTTGACCCAGTAATTCTACTTCTCCAGAGCTAATGTAAGAAAATAAACTTAAATAAGGGAGAGGGAACTATAATGCAGAAAACAGTTTATTATGCTATAATTGTGATAAATTGTAAACTGAATGTTAAACCACAGGCTGGATGCTATTAGGAAACAATACCCTTCAAAACAATGAAGGTTGAACGATACTGCCTGTGTTGATAATATCATAGAGTATAAAAGACGAAAAAAGCAATATGCAAAACTGCATACAGATTAGAAAAAACTAAAACTAAGAATATATACTAAAGTGCTTGCATGAAAGCAACTGTTGGTTGTGGAGGAAGGAATGTGATCATTTTCCCTGTCTTCTCATATATTTTCAGCAATACATTGCACTGTTTTTTACACTAGAAATATATTTTAGAACTTATAAAATAACTAATACTCATAGAGAGGTATGTCCAATGAGCTGAAATGACATTTAGATGAATCATTTAGCACCTATTTCCTAGATGTACCAATATAATTTATAATACTAAATAACGGGCACTCCAAAAACTACATATGCAATAGAGGCAACACATCTTCAAAAGTACTAGAAGCCAACCGTAAAACATAAATTAGCATGGAAACTTAATAAGGTATTCAAGTAAAAACTCTTACCTACTGATTTTTTTCCTAAAATAGTGTATGCTATGATTTCTATTAGTAGAATAATAAAACTTACTTAGAGATAAATTAAAAATATATTTGGAGATATGACATTTTATATTATATCTTTATATTATGATAAACTCCCCCTAAAATGAAGAGCTAATTCATTCCCCATAAAATGAAATAGGTTCTTCTAAGAACCTATTTATAGGCTATATGACTTCAAACACTATTAAGGTTAAGTTTTTAAAACAATTCAAAAACCAAATATTAAAATTAGTTTGGGAAAAATTGGTTAAATTTTTTTTTAAATCTTTTTAAAGACCACTTACTATATAAAGTCTACTGAATTTACAAAATAAACAACTTTGTCTATAGTTATATTGTGATGAGATAAACACCCATGAGGGTAGATTAATAATAATAATGCTAAATGTGTTTAAAAGACACACTCCTATACAAGTATTATTATGAAGCTTAAGAAATAATGTCATGTAAATCAATTTTCAACATCATAACAGCTGATTTATCTAAGAGGGTTAAAATCTCCCCATATAAAATGTAGATAATATAGGCATTATTTTCCTCTTCTTCATGCCAATCTCTTTATCCACCTCCAAGTCTTCATTAGAAATAGGTGCCTGCCTTCTAAATTGTTTTGTAGACACATTGTTATTATTCATATAATTTTTATCATTATTTTAAATGATATGAAAAGAATTCTAATAATAAAATACTAGGTATGTAGACAAGAAGACCAATCAAGTAGGCTTCCAATAGCGGAATCGATAGGGCTTGGTGACTATTATGACATGGAAGATGAAAGATGAGGCAGTGAGAAAGCTGTTCAAGGATGAGTCCTACGTTTCGAGCTTGAACAACTGGGTTTATGGTGATACATTCACAGTGACTGGAAAACGAACAGATTTTTGTTGAGAGAGGATTAATTTGGTTTTAGCAATGCTGGGTCTGAGGTGAAATCTAGGCTGCAGAGAGATTTGCAAATCATCTGCTCAGAAAAGTACTCAAAATGGCGCAGAAGGCACCAGGAGAAGAGGAAGAGATCAAGACTGAGCCTGGAGGGACACGGATATTTAAGAGACAGGAAAAGAACACTGAAGAAGGTAGAAAGACAGGAGAGAAACCAGGAGAGCGTGCTAGAGAAGGTGCAAGTGTATAAAGGAGGAGGATATCAGTAAGAATGCCAGATGTTATTCCGTCACATAATACTAAGAAGTGCCCACTTGGATTTAGCAACAAGAAGGTTACTGATGACCCTGGTACTAGCAATTACAGCAGGGTGGGGAGAATCAATCCCGTAACTAGAATGCTTTTACTGATAGGAAGAGGCAAAAATAAAAGAAGTCATTAGGTAATTTTTTCAAGGAATTAGTCTATGAAGGGAAGAAGACAGAGATAGGCATGGAGGAAGTTTTGTTAAAAGCATGTTTAAAATTTGTTGGCCAAGAGCTAGTAGAGGAAGATACTGAAGATGCAGAAAAGAAAGGAGATAGTGTATGGTCTCTGAAAAAGCGGTAGCAACTGGGACCCAGGGTGTTAAGAAAAATCACTAACTTTAGGTAGAGGAACACCTCTTTCTTTGAACAAAGGGGAAGGATGGAAGTAGATGGAGGCTAATGACATCTATTCATAGGAGGCTGAGGGAGTCTGTAAGTGATGCGAAGAGGAAAGGACTGATCCTAAAATGTGAGGGTTAGACAGCAGTGTCTGAGAGATGAGAAGAGTAAAGGAGAATGACTGTGGGCAGCACTGAGGATTCAGGTGAGAGCCAGAGAACATCCACAGATATCAGTTATCTGCAATGTGAATTTTTTTTCCCAGCAGTGCTCATCACCCCTGGTAGAATATTCCACTGAATCCATCCAAGGTGGGAGATTATGGCAGGCAGGTTATTAGAAAGACAATAAAATGGAAAAGCTGAAGCCACTGGAAAACAAACAGCACAAGTCATGGATGACTGTATGGGAATAACAGGGATAAAAGTAAAATTTTTCTACTTTAAACGAGCACTTCTATGACCTACTAAACTAAGCTGAAACTAATTAAAAGTTTCATATAGCTATTTTCAACAGCCCTATCTGGCTCCCTTACCTTGCAAAGATACAAAATGCAAAAGTACTATAGCAATTTATAAACTTTCTGTGACTGATCTTTTTGAAGAAAATCCTGTCATAGGATTCTTACTACAGAGAAGTATTTATATGTATATAAAATTACAATATTGTCACAGAAATACCTATGATTGACCCAAGGTTAATCTTTGAAATAAAAATATAAAGAAAAATTAATCAAGTTAAGAAAAAAAACACTATTTTTCTAAAATCTTTAAATTCAGATATTATCTCTGAAATGGCATTAAATTACTCCTAACCATCCCTGGAAATGCCATCTTGACAACTGTAAATGAAGGTTTTAGAAATATTCAACCTAATAAAATAATGTAGGAAGTAGTTTTTTTCTAAGTATTTACTTAGGGTCGCAAAATAACCAACGGTGGTACTTTATATATCTGTACAAGTTTTCTAAAGGCTGCATTGTTTATGGTATTTCTCTTACTAATTATAAAAATACCTGGTACACTGTTTTGAAAGTCTTCATACAGTGTTCAAATGTACTAAGCACTTCTAATGGAAACTGAGAAGAAAATGCATAAGTATCTGGTTTTATGTGTTGTTTAGTCAGTTTCATTTGAGGAACTTCTCAATTTCTTCTCTGTACTTAAGATAGTCAAGTACCTAAAAAAAAAAAAAAAATTTTTTTCACAAAGGATTTTTCCCATAGCGCTTTCAATTTGAGACTTTCTAAAAATTTCAAAATTTTTTTAGAACTTAAGATATCTCTAATTACCCTCTTCAAAGAAAAAAAAAACAAAAAACTGTTAAGACATTGGTGGGAGGGGGATAAAAAGACTGCAACAAAACATAACCCTCTATCTAAATCAACAAAAATTTTATTAGACCTATGTACCAACTATTGCATTAGGTCTATCTTACAATACAGTTATTCTGTGCAGAGCATTTAACATCAACAAAATATGCCCTTGCTCAGAAGTGAGAACACTGAGGTCAATTAAATTCTGCTCGCTAAGACGCCCTCCCTAAAATTTATATTCAAAACCTATTGCTTTCTTGTCATGAGTTACATGTAACACCCAAATAAATCTGTAGGCCCTACTGCCACCAGCAACTTGGAATCTCAGTCTTTGCTGCCAGTCCCATACTCACTGCTACCATCTCTTCCTATCACTCCCTTCCACTGGGTCATTACAAACCTCCTTTACATCCTCCATCTGTTCCCCAATATGCCTCCTACTTCTTCAAGTTCAATAACATCCGAAATCCCTCTAAAAGCACTATTTCCTTAGCAATCCTTTCCAAACGGGGCACTACTCTTCCTAATGCCCCAGATTCATGAGGAAAGGATCACATTTACAGACCATTCTTATTTAACTAATGCTTAACCTTCCTCTTTTGAACAAATTTGTCATCAAAAATATCATTCTCCATACCGTGGGCACCACTTCCTACCGTCTTCCCTAAAACAAGTCTTGTACTTTTCTTGGTAATAACTGGCTCATGGTTTCACCCTCCACATCATTCCCTACTTTCCTAATTTTTCTAAGACTGTGAATTGAGATCCAACATCCCTCTCATCTTCCCTATTCCAATACATTTCACTCTGGACTGGTAATTTGTTCAAGATCCTGAAGTTCTGAAATCCCTTCTTCTGATCATAAGTCCTTGCCTTCTCCTTCTCTCACTTGGGTCATTCCTGCTAAACCTGCTCTTGACCCTGCTGCAAACTTCAGTTTGGTCATTCTTCTTTCCAGGAATCCATTAACCCCCTGCTTCCTTACTCAACCCCAAACACAACCCAAGTAAGTAATTCCAAAAATCCCTTGCAAGCATCCTTGATTTCCTCCCCTATTTGTCCATTCTACCAATTCAATTCTGGTTAACCCCACTACCTGCTCTCTTTGCATCTATTCACAAACTGTTAAAGGATAGAGAAATAATTATAAAATGTGATTGGCTATGTTCACTATTAAGGTATCTTATACTGTACACACACAAACACACACTTTCAAAACATAGATTTACTCCATGAGATAAGACACCTTGTCTGTTTTGCTCATTGCCATATCTCTAGTACTTTATAGTCATTAAGTCACCCACTGTAGGTACTGAATTAAATCTGTAAGATGAATGTATTACTATGTACTTTGCTGGCTTCCAAATAAATTCCCTAGTGCAGTTATTCCAAACGCTTTCTATTTTTCCCAAGTGTCAAATACACTTGTCTCCTTTACAAATGGCCAAATTCTTTAATGAGAAAATGAAGATCTTCTAAAGTGAGTTAAAAGAATTTTCCCTATATCTTTATTCCCTCTCATCTATCCTCCCTCACATTTAAACTATTTTATAACTGGTTTTATAATTCTTTTTATTTTACTAAACGCCGGCTATATCACTCTAGTGTTAAGAACTCTAATACACACTCACATTTGACCTTCCCTGAGTTTGATTTTTCTTATCCTATTATTCTTCCAATTAAAAAAAAAAATACTGGGACACCTGGGTGGCTCAGTGGGTTAAGCCGCTGCCTTCGGCTCAGGTCATGATCCCAGGGTCCTGGGATTGAGTCCCGCATCAGGCTCCTTGCTCAGCAGGGAGCCTGCCTCTCTCTCCACCTCTGCCTGCCTCTCTGCCTGCTTGTGTGCTTTCTCTCTCTCTCTTTCTGACAAATAAATAAATAAAATCTTAAAAAAAAAATACTGAAAAAGTATAATAAAAACATAAATCAACTGCCAATTTTCTCATGATAGCTGGCTTAGATCATACGGGAACTAAGGACTTACCTGCTTTCCTGGAAAGCAAGCAACCCACTGAAAATGCGTTGTCTTAAAATTTTAACAGCGGAATTAAATTCAGACTCTGACACTTTCCTTAAAAAAGCAATGACTTCTAAAATGCTTTTTAACAAGAATTTCTTCTGATCCTCATCCTTTAGTCATTTAATTTCTAAATTGTCCTTAGCAAATAATTATTTAACTTTCCCTCAATAAACTTTCATTGACTTTTTTTTGCTGGTCAGATTTGACAATACACTATGGATATAAACTAGTTTACCTTTAGGCACCTAAGAGAAAAAAAAAGCACAACTCAGTCAACAGTATATGCAATAAGCTCAAAAAGTAGAGAAATTTTGAAAAATCAATTAACAGAAAAGTTGCAGAAAATGACTTAAGATTAAATAGATTTGGAGAGGCAAATCCAGTAGCTGTTATAGGACAAATTCAAATTCAAATGGGCTGAAGAAATCCTGTGAAGAAAAAGACATTTCAAAAGGCATTGTTTAAATTATTTGGTATTTAATAATTAGGAATGACATGGCTCTTTTCTAGCAAAAGTATGAAAGCAGAACAAAGTGGCATGCCAAAAAGCAAGGCACACAGGGCAGCAAACTGAGAAGGTCTGTTTACTAGAGTGGGCCCTCAACCACGCACTGATATGTTGATAGCAGTCTCCATTGAAAAGTCTTCCAACTACAATAGGAAGAACAATAACACAGGGGTGCCTGGATGGCTCAGTTGGTTAAGCATTTGCCTTCAGCTCAGGTCATGATCTCAGGGTCCTGGAATCAAGCCCCACATCCGGCTCTTGCTTGGTAGGGATAGGGAGGCTGCTTCTCCCTCTCCCTCTGCCTGCCACTCCCCCTGCTTGTACTCTGTCTCTCCCTGTCAGATAAATAAATAAAATCCTTAAAAAAAAAAAAACCCGATAAACAGCAATAACATATATAATGATGACAAATTACCTGTTTAAAAACTAGTTTTATAGCTCAGAAACGGCTCCTTTCCTGCTTCACACTTCAAAGTTGTTGCCTGCTTGTGATTAAAAACAACAAAAACACTTCAGTGAATTCTTTGCTTACACTATGAAGTATAGAATAAGAAATATTTTATATATATATATATATATATATATATATACACACACACACATGACCTAAAATGTTTAGAAAAATGAACAAAAAAGGAAACATCCAACTTACAATATTTTAGACTGGTTACTTTAATCCTTTTGGAAAACAATGTGATATACTTAAATGTTTAAATCCTCCAAACTTGTAAGATTCTACCAAACAACATGATCCGTTAATATAGCTACTTCAGTAAGTAATAAAGATCATTAATCCCAATTACCATGTAAAGATTCATGCCGAAGTTTACTCCTCATATTGTCATTAACTTTCTGCCACACAAACTATTCAAAAACTTTGTATATTCAATGATTAAAAAAAAATTTTCTTTACTTGAAAGCTAACTACTTAAAAAAAAAAAAAAAACTTGTCACTATATACAGACAAGGTTTACCTTCAGTTCAAAAACCCAGTATTATAATGGTTTCCAGGACTCGCACCAAGAAGGTAAGAGGCAAAGAAAAGAGCAGGTGCACCCGAAGCTCTACAACACCCACTCCAGTAACCAGAGAATACCAGGAGGCGGAGTCTGGAAAGCAGTTATGGGGCGGGGGTGACAGGGGCGCCCAGAAAGCCCGGTTCTTCCAGCGCCAAAATACGATCCCTCACTCATACGGCACAGAACGCAAACCTCAAACCGGTCAAAAAAGAAAAAAGAAGGAAAAAAATCGAACAAGGCGAAATCCTCAGGAATGGGCCCCAGGATGAAAAAAGTTTGGATGACCCGCCCCCCTAAGAGGGCCTACCATCCAATCCCCAAACACCAGTTTCTGCAAAGCAAGCAATGTTTCCCTAATCCCACTTGGCATTTAGTTTTCCCCATCTTAGGCCCTTTCTTACTGGACCTACAGTAGGAGACGGAGAAGCTGAGCAATGGGAGGGGGGAGAGAAGAGCTGTTAAATTATCATTCCTCTCCCAAGTATAAACCACCTCTTCTCCAAAGTCAGGAACGCCCTCCCCGCCCCCCCCCCCCCCCCCCCCCCCCCCCCCCCCCCCCCCCCCCCCCACCCCCCCCCCCCCCCCCCCCCCCCCCCCCCCCCCCCCCGCGCCGGCCTTTCAGCTCTAAGAATACCCGAGACAGCAAAAATCCGCTGCTCACAGCCCAACGCAAAAGTCGCGTCGCTCCTCACCCGGCCTTCACCTAAAATTCTGGACACCGAGAGCGCCACAGAATGGAATTTGAGAGGGGGTGGGAGCGGGCGCAGTCACGTACACTAAGGCCATTAAGGCCCCGTGCTATGGAGAACTAGAGCCAGCCCCATCCCTGGCAACCAAACCACAGCCCCCGCTCCACTCCCAAGACTTGCAAGGGGCATTCCCCTGGAGCGCCCGAAACGCAGGGCGGCTTCCTCCTCGGGGCCAGAAAATGGGGGGGGAGGGGGGCAACAAGGGAGTTCTGCAGCCGCTATCGCGTCCCTAAATGCTCACCCGGAGACTGCGTCCTTCGTCCTGAGGTAAGGGGCGGACTGTCTGGCTAGGGGACCCGAAGCTGGCAACAAGAAGACCCAGAAGCCCACGGAGAGGCGTGGGCCCGAGGCCAGGCCCGATAGGGTCAAGTGTCCCAAAGCCGTTGCTCTCTCGCCCCTGCCCCGCGCTGCCCTCGGTTGCCAAGGGCTGGGGACGCGCAGCATTACCTGTAAACGAAGAAGCCGCTCCTGCCAAGGGTGGAGTAGCGGTCAGGCCCTACGATCCGCCACCGGCAGCGGTCCTCCCTTAGAGACTGCAGCTGGGAGCGCCCACAAATTCCCTGGCTGCCTAGGGCCCAATGGCCGCCTTCTCTACCTTAGCTACTCGGCGCCAACCGCCGCAGCCACCGCCATCTTAGGATCTCATTGTGGTGGGAGAAGAGGGCGGGGGGGACTGCAGAGGGGGCAACGCGGCGTGAGACTGCGCCGTCTCCTCGGCAACGGCCGCGCGGGGCGAGAACTCGCCGGGGCGGGAGCCGCAGTGCGATCAACGCTCTAGACTAGAGTCATGTGACCGCCGGAGTCTGTGGTGTCACTTCGGGCCCTTTTGCCTGGAGCCGCTAACACAAACGAACAACCGGAGACTGCATATCCCAGAATGCCAATTCGACCCTGGTTTATAAGCGTCCGTCCATCGGTCAGGAGAGGGTTAACCGCAAATCCCGGCATGCCGTGAACATCGCGGCACTCCTCTGCGAGCTGGTGGCTCTGGGCCTGTGCGGAAGTACCTTGAGCTTCCTTTTTAGCTGGAAAAACTGAGGAGAGTCATTCTGGTTTGCTGGGCGGCTGTCAGCTCCAGACCCTGCGGGGGGCCGGGAGTGGGGGGGGGGAAGACCTAAGTCGCACCTCTGTTTCTTGCCGACCCGCATCCGGAATTAGGAAGAGATGGAATTAGAAGGGTTTTTACCATCTACTCGTGATGTTACACGGTGAAGATTAATCATGGGAAGTTAATTGGCTAAACCAATTAACCATATAGTCAGTGGGAGAATTCTAAATGTTAATAATGAACACCACCACCTTGGATTAATGTCCTACTTTTCCCTTGGAAGAATCAGACGATTTTAATCAAAATTTAGTATAGGGAAATTTTCTTTTAAAACTAGTCTCTGAATTCTGTTTTGATTTATGCTCCCATCTCAGCAGAAGCTCTATCAAGGATGGTAAATTGACAGGTTCTCTCTTAGTTTAAAAAAAAAAAAAAATTCAAGTGAGTGAATTCTAAGATCTAATTGGCTTTGTTTGACTATTCATGAATTGAGCAGCATTCCAACCAACAAACAGAAAGGAGATCCTTGGAGCTGTAGAAAGGGCAATGTTTTTAAAGTCAGGAAGGGGTTGGAAAAAGGAAATAATTAGCAAAGAATGCGTTGTTTCTGGCAAAGTTGCCTTCCTAAGTAGAAAGGAAAGCGCTGCCAGATGGATTACTGACCTACTGATAACCAAGTCCCGGGTGACTAGTTAAAGGTTATATTACTGGGGTGTTGAAACTGCAGTTGGCTTAGGTATTAAACCTGAGTTGGCTGAGGTGAGGTTTAGCACACGTGACTCCATTTGGGGCCTGCTGTTTCCTTGTTAACACTCCTAACACACTAGGAGAAAAAAGTGATAATGACTTTCAAGGCCTTTAGTGTGCCTCCCTGAAAAGTTAAAACACCTTTAATTTTACTTGAATGCAGGGGCATTCTATTTTTAGGCAGTTTGTGAGATGAGTTTGTTTTAAACAAAAGAAGAGTAGAGTGAATAAAGGACATTTAGGTTCCAACAACAAATTGTTCTCAATCACCAACAGATATTGTTCAAAAAACCAAGTAAAAGAATCCTATCTCAATACATAATTCAGGTAAATAAAACTCTTGCTGAAACTATCGTCAGATTCAGTCTTATTGCAATGATATATTTTTGAGTACATTCTGTGTATCTAACGTTGGTAATTACTCGGTAACAAAAACATTCCCTGCCCTTGAAGGATTCATCTCACCCTCTGATTTCCTACCCCTCCTCCATTTTCCCTTGAAGGGCTGATATTTTAGTGAATGATGGAGAAATAGAATGTGACGTAAATAAATTCTGTTTTGTAAGAAAACAAAGTGCTGTGGGAATCCAAAGCACAGAGTGCTCCAGGCCCCATTCTAATTCCACCACTCCATAGCTCTAAAATTTTGGTCAAGTTTCTTAACTTTTCTGTCTCAGTTGTCCCATCTACAAAATGAAGGGGAGAGAATCCTAATATTGCCACCCTTGTGGGAATTTTTTTTTTCAAGTAGTATTTATTTTGAAGAAGGCACAAGCTAAGCGTTGTATCTGTTGTGATTTTCTTAATTCTCCCAACTCTCCTGAAGAGATTGATCCTGCATTTGTTCCATTTTAGAAACCAAAGTTTAAATAAATCATCAAAATTCTGACATCTCCAAGTGGTAGAGCCCATGTAAAACAGGTCTACTGAACTTGTTGGAGGGATTTTTGGATTAAATAAGAGAATGAGTGGAAAAAATTACTAGCATATGGGAAGGCTTCAAAATATTAGCTGTCTTTATTATCATCACCATAGTCATCATTTTGTTTATGTATATATGTATATATATATAATTTTCAAATATGTAGAGGCTATTGTCCTTCAAACAATTCAAATGATTCAAAAGCATTAATATGGTCTTTATGATTTTTAAATTTATGACCTCTAAAAAATGTCAATACTATTATGTCTGTTTAGTGGGGGGAGGAGTCTGAGATATTTTTACATTAAAAAAAGATCCTCAAACTCAAATATGAGCATTATTGATCTAAAGCAAAAGGCAAAGAATAAAAACCTGAAAAGGTATAAAATTATTCCAGATCTCCAAAACCTTAATGTCTAATTCAGAGAATAAACCTTAAGCAAACAAATCCATTTAGTATCAGTAATGTATGAATATGGCAAATAAATGATACAGACAGTAAGTGCTTTAGGAATTCAGAGAAAGAATATTGATATATTGCCTCAAAAATATAGTTCCAGTTTCTGCATGGAATGAAATTAGGGGCAACAGTTTAGTGGAAATGTAGATGGGGATCGAGTGGTCTCTCAGAGACATATGTTGAAACTACCTCTCAGTTTCCTACATTTAAGAACAACATAAAACATGTATTAAACATGGGGGAGGAGGCCCAAATGGAAACAAGCACACTTCAAACACACAGTACATCCAGAATTCGTGATGGATAATGCAGAAACCAGACTGGGTGAAGTAGAGGATTCACATGGGATGGGGAACGGGGAGGCAAGAGAAGAATAGGTTTCTATATGTTTTGTACAAACTGTAGAAAATCTTAAATGTTGATCTGAAGAGATTGGGCTTTGTTCTGTGGATAGTGTAAAATCACATTGAGTCTTTAGAAGAAGCAATGATATAATGAAGTAGTTATTTTAAGACTTTAGCAGCAAGGTTTAGAACAAGCTAGGGAGAGCGGGAGATGAGTAGAACAGGTAGTAACTGGCATGAAGTATTAAAGCCTGGCCTAAGGTAGTAGCAGAATGAATCAAGTCAAGGAGTTGGATTCTGATTGGTTGTCATCCTGTGTAAAATAGCATTTTCATTTTTAAGATTACACTGACCGGGGGTGCTGACAGTAGAACATTTTGTATTATATTATTTATCTCTTTAATGTGTTCTGTGTTCTTTTTCCACAGGATTTAAGTAGAGTGAGAGCAGAAACCCTGACTTTTGTAGTTCTTTATTATCACAAATGCCTTGCAGAATTCATTTACTATATTTTGAGATTCACAAATTTGGTCTTTGAAAAAACAGTTTTTTGCAGTACCTAGTTTTACCTGCAGGTGGTGATAGAACTTAAAGGAAAAATCTGTAGTGCCCCCCGCCATTACAACTGAATTTTATGATTGTTTTTATATGTGATTTTTTTATACACCCTAGAGAAAAATAGACATTTGTGTAAATTATAAAGCACAATAATAAGAGAAACCCTCAATAACCCACCACCTAAGCTAAAACATAGAATATAATCAATCTATTTAAGGACACTTTATGCTTTTCTCCAAGCTCATTCCCTTTTGCAAACATAAATACTATCCTGTATGATCTTGGTGTTATCATCCTTTCATTTTTCTCAAATAACTATATGTATATATCCCAAAATAATGTATTGTTTGGTTTCACTTTTTTTCAAGCTTTATATAAATGACGTCATACTGAGTATATTTTTGCTTGACTTGTTTTTTCATTCAACATTGTTTCTGAAATTCATCTATGTTGATGGGTAGAAACACAAAGTATTAAGAGCAGAAATAAAATTAATTTTGGAATATTTCTAGAGTTGAATATAAATGATATTATCTTTATTCTTCATATTAGCTTTGTGACTAACTTGATGGAGGAAGGAACTGATTATATAAACAAGGGATAGGTGAAGAACTCTGACCTAGTTCTTACATTTTTTTGGTTAAATTTAAGAATTTTATTTCTCTCCCTTCATCTAGCCCAGAGTTTCTCAGTCATGGCATGATTGACATTTTGGGCTGGCTGATTCTTTGTTTCAGGGGGCTGTCCTGTGTGTTACAACATATTTATCTGCATGCCTGACCTTCTCCCATTAAATGCCTGTAACACCCTGTCTCCCCAGTTGTGACCACCAGAAGTGTCTCCTGGCATTATCAAATAACTGTCCATCCAAGGAGGGTAGAGTGGGGGGGTGAGGGCAAAATCACTCCTGAGAAACGCTGATCTAAACTTTGCATTGAGAAAATCATGTTACTGTGAATTTTTCTTTCTTTTTTTTTTTAAGATTTTATTTATTTATTTGACAGACAGAGATCACAAGTAGGCAGAGAGGCAGGCAGAGAGAAGGTGGGGGGAGCAGGCTCCCTGCCAAGCAGAGAGCCCGATGTGGGGCTCGATCCCAGGACCCTGGGATCATGACCTGAGCCGAAGGCGGAGGCTTTAACCCACTGAGCCACCCAGGTGCCCCACTGTGAATTTTTCTAATGCGCCTCTTTTGCTCAGAAACCTAAACTTTTGAATAATTAAATCATGTATTATATAAAATTATAACAACTAATTATTTTTGATATTTCAAGGCTTTTCTTACCTTCCTCTGTTTTCCCCATATCTAATTACCTTGACATCTCTCATTACTGCCTAGTTCAGAATTTTTTATTGGATTCCAAATACCTAATTACTGCTCTCTAGACATACAATGTTAATGTTTATACCACTCTGAACTGCCTTTTCCTCCATAACCAGTTTATGTTCTTTTCTTCCAAAAATCACTCATTTGATAAATGTACCCTTATGGTTCTGACAATTCTAACTGTATTTGCATTTCATCAGTCTTAACATGGCTCAGCTCCTATGATTGTGATATGCTGTTTCT